TGGAATTGCATATTGTGTTTTCTGAGTGAAAGTACCCTAAATATTATGTCCTGATCTCATGGTAAATAGTAAGAAAAGGTCAGTAAAATGATAAGAGGGTAGGATGCAGAGGGAAGGCACAGGTAATGAATAATCAGTAACTTAACATGACTGTGTTGGGGGTGGATTTACAGAGGAGAATTCAGTATTAATCTCATATTCTAGTTTCACTGCTAATGAACTGATCTTGGCAAATATGCTACATAGTTCATAAACAATCATCAGTGTTCAGTTTTATTGAACACAAAACATAATCACAAAAGAGGACATTAGGAGCATCAAAGTATTATTAACGGACATGGCTTTTCTGAGAGTGCCTATAGCACCTATAGGTTTCTAAAGTAGCATCATTTCAGATAAATAGAATGATTCTGAGCTTAGGGAGACCCCTACAGGAACTGCAGAAAACAATACCGCTGTGCTTAGGAAAACAAAAGTAATTTTTTCTTTGAAAATATTTTTAAATGCTGAGAGCATCTTTCAGAATGATAAACACAATATTAACAACAAAACTTAAGTAACATATATACATATATGTACACAATTTTATCTTTCAACTTTAGTATACTTCTAAAATGGAGTTTTATCTAATGGCCTAAGAAGACCCATAATTCTTTAGAAGTCAGGATTTACCTACTGTCAGAAATTACATTGGTTGTCATTATATTCATCATCATTTTTTTCTGAGATTCCATCCAGTAGCACCAAATATATTTGAAAAATATTAACGTGATATTTAAATATATTTAAACATATTTAAATATATTCCACATTAATAGACGTTTATGCCTTTATATACAATAGATCAGGGCTGGGGCATGTCTCAAGTAGTACAGCATCTGCCTTAGCAAGCATGAAGCCCTGAGTTCAAAACCCCAACACCACCAAGGTTAAAAAAAACCATGCAAATACATTAGATTCTCTTTTTAAGAATAGGTTTTCAACTAGTATAAAGTATATGGGAATTTGAGAATTTAAGGATATTAGTGGAAGTGATGATATATAGCATGATTTTATCTGTGGATAGAAAGTATAGAACTGTTTAAAAGCTCACCTTAGCCCTACTCCTGAAAATAGAAAAGGAAGCAGTGATAAACAAGTCTTCATTTGCTGTCTATCTTTAGTTTATATTGACTACTTCCATTCAGGTTTTGACCAGAATGTCTCATTAAATCTCTCCTCCACTTCCTTTTTATGTAACACTTAAATTTCTGTGAAATTTTAGGGAAAGGGTTTTGATGTCTCCAGTGGCCCCAAAAGACTTTGTTCTAGTGTGCTTCCAAAGTAAGAAAGCAAAAGCTGGACTATTTACAAAAATATGATTGGAGAAAACCCATAATTTTAGGTGATTTTGAAACTGTACCAGAATATTCAGTCCTGAAATAATTGCACATAACAAAAAGTCCACAGATGAACAACCAAAGGAGGTTGAGGGGAGACGGCAGATTCCACACAGAAAATGCCTAAGATCAGCAGACTTTTTCTTTTGTGTCTTGGCAGTACTAGAGTTTGAACTCAGAGTCTTTGGCTTTCTAGGCAGGTGCTCACCCACTTGAGGCAAACCTCTACCCTAAGATCAACAGACTTTTTAAAGATGAAATCACTTTCTGTCAAGTCAGTCTCAAAAATAAAATCATATTCTCTCCACCACTCCATATCTAAGCAGCACCTAAGCAGGTAAGCTTACATACTTAGATCTTCTCTATTAGATCCTTATATTAACTATTATTTTGCCTTGCCCCAGACAGCTGCTGTGCCAAAGCATGAATCTTATCAGAGTATTTACCTGCTTAAAATCCTTTGGAATTATGGAATCAGCCTAAGTACCCACTAACGGATGGATAAAGAAAATGTGTTTATATATATATCTATCTATATATCTATCTATATATAGATATATCTATATCTATCTATATCTATAGCTATCTATCTATAGATAGATAGCTAGATAGATAGGTAGATATATTAGTGGGGGCTTATTGAGCCATAAAGAATTAAATTATATCATTTATAGGAAAATGGGTAAGAATGAAGATCATCCTAAGTGAAATAAGTCAGTCTCACATATTTTCACTCATGTATAGAATCTGGGGCAGAGCAGGGGAAGGACATAAAAGCAGAAGGGGATTTGGAAAGGAATCATGGGGAGGGAGAGGGGAAAAGGGTAATAAGAAGAGGTGAGTATGATCAAAGCACATTACATGAATACATGGAAAAGTTATGTAATACCCCTTACTTTCTACAATTAAAACACACTAAGTTAAAAATCCTTGTGTGGTTCTCTATAATCTTCAAGATAAAAACTCACATCCCTTAACCATACAAGCCACTAAATGATGTGGTCTTCCTACCTTCTGTGTTTCTTTCTTTACCATTCATTCATTAGAATAAAAACATTAATAGAAATAATAAAAATACAATAATATGAATATTAACAACTAACACTTATGAACCCACACCATATACCAGGTATTATAATAAATACGCTATTATGGCACATATAACATAACTTTGACCATATAAATAATTTTCGGGTAAACAGTTATATGGGTTTAGGTGCATTCACACTGGTGTGCAGCCATCACTACCATTCATCTCCAGAATGTTCTCATCCTCCTCCACTGAAACTCCATACCCATTAAACACTAATTCCCTAGTCAACCCTCTGCCCAGCCACTGGCAATTACCATTCTATTTCTGTCTCTACAAATTTGGCTACTCTAGGAATCTCATGTAAGTGGAATACTTGTCCTTTTGTGACTAGCTTATTCACCAAGCATAATGTCATCAAAGTCCATTCACATTGCAGCATTCATTAATATTTCCTTCCTTCTTTAGGTGGGAAAATATTTTCTTGGAAGTGTATACCACATTTTGCTTCTCCATTCATCAAGAGTGCACTCTTGGATTGCTTCCAGCTTTGGCTATTATAAACAGTCATATCTTAGTCTGTTTAGGTGCTACGTAGAGTACCTGGAGGCGGGGAAGTGAAAGGTCAAGATGTCGGCCAGTTCAGTTACTGGTGAGGAATCTCTTGAAGATTGCTGCCTTATTACTGTATGCTCACATTACAGGGAAAGAGAAGTGGAGAGAAGGAGGAGGTTCTCTGGTCTCTTCTTATAAAGACACTAATTCCATCATGAAGACTTCACAATGATCTTATCTAAACCTAAGGCCCTAATGTGAAGGCTGTCTTTGACCCACCCTAACAAAGCTTAAAAGCAAGAGAACAATCAACTTACATAGATATAACTGTGGTAGAACAAAGTTCAATACTCTTAAAGAAATACAACAAAACCAGCACTTAACATCATATAACTCAAAATGTCTATCATCTAGTAAAAACTTACCAGTTTTATAAAGAAACAAAATAAACCATAAACAAAAGGGGAAAAAACCCTCAATAGTTGCATACCACAAAATGACAGAAATACAGTTATCTGAAAGATACTAGCACAGCAAATATACATCTCATAAATGTTTGAAAATGCAAACTAAAACACGAATAAAATACAAGAATTGGGAAGATAAAAACTAGAAGTCCTTAAATAGAGGACTTGAACTTGTCCTAAGCCCAGACTCCAAACAGAAGCTGGATGTACATTTGCTCTCCCTTCACTCTGTTATCATCCTGACTGCATGCTTGCAGAGAGTTTGCCTGTGGGATTCCAGCCTTCTTGTGATCTTCTGTTTGACTGATGGGTTTCGGGAAGCTTGGAAGGAGTCCACAACTAACACTTCATAAAAAATCATCTAACACATACACATACCCACCCTATAATTCTTGTTGATCCCTAATTGATACAGAGGTTTTTAGTTAGGTATGCCTGAGTTCCTTATTTCTTCAGAAAGTGTGTGTGTGTGTGTGTGTGTGTGTGTGTGTGTGTGTGTGCATGTTTCTCTCACAAATCAACTCATCATTAGCCTATAAACACATACAGCAAACAAAGATATCTATGTCACACTTGGCACGAACTCAAAATCTTGCCCTTGCTGGCATCATGAATCATAAAACCAATCTAAACATTTCAACAGGTTGTTGAGGGTGCTGACTTGAGAAACAACACACTTTTCAGTAAGCTAAACTGCTCTCTGGAGTAGGTTTTCATTGTGCTTTGTGATTATCACCAGAATCTTCTATTTTCTTTCCAATTGTTTTCCTCAGGAAGACAGGGAAGTGCCTGTCTTCATGATGCCCTACTGTCTTATACAACTACTTGGTGAGAGTAGGACACCTTACCTACACAAAACGTACATTTGCGTTTTTGTTATGTTGGTCACGGTCCTGACCATTTTCCAAATTCTATTCATTGGTGGGCATAGAAGATTTGATAAAAAATGAGAACAGTAATAAAAGTTAAAGTAAAATTTCTTTTGGAATGTTTTAGAACCTAAATAATACTAAAATGCTTAAATTTTGACATTTTTTGGATCTGATAATGATGAAAATTTTATCTAGTCAGCCAAATTTAACTCCTAAGAAATCCTGCCACTTGCTATTTTAGCAAACAGGATTTCAAATAGTGGGGTTTTTGAAGCTAATACTTCTAGGTTCCAGTAAAAAAACATAATGGATCTGAAACTGGTAGTGTCTGGGCGCTATCCTTCCTCCTCAAATGGCCTAGTCAAAGGCGAGGAACATCAAGAATTGTAAATATGCACAGGATGATTTTTCCCTAGCCACCCAGTATAAAACAGAACGCATCAGAAAACCAAATACTTATTGGATATGTATTTCTTTACAAGGAAGAGTAAAGAAAATGGCATAGTGAATATATCACTGACCTCGGTATCAAATTGTTCATCTGTAAACTAGGAACAATATTCATGATTTAATACCTTCCTAAAAGTCATGTTCTGAAGGTTGTTACAATGTAATTATAAATTCTATAGTAAATATGATTATACTTTCTCTGACCTAATAAAATACTGCAGAAATTCACTACAAAAAAATCACTATTACTTATTTTAGCTTCATTTAATGTATTAATCAGAAAGGGCAACTTTCCTTCTTTAATGAATAAATCTTTTAACAGCAAAGTACAAGTGTTCTTTGAGCTATTTTTATTTTTTGCAACTTATCTTTAATGAGAAAATCTATAGAAGGCAGCATCTTTCCAGATCTGGAAAACTTACTTTGTTTTATATCACAGATTTACACTCATGGCTTACATCACTATTCTGGAAGAAGCCATAGTAACAACCCAAGCACTTCATTTAAGGGAATGCTCACAAACATACACTCTCCTGGGCTGAGGCAAGCCTAGCATTAATAAGGCCACATATTCATGCAAAGCAAGAAAGTAAAATAAGATGAAAAAATATTCTGCCACTCATCCTCCACTCCAACCTACAAAGTCCAATTTAATGCAGATCTTGGTGGAGGAAACCACCACAATCTACTGTCCAATATAATCAATGTCCACTCTATTCTTCTAAGATAGATGTTATTTTAATGATTTATAGATTTTATTTTCTATAAGTCAATTTGATGCTAAAGAACAGAACTAGTCAAATGTTAATAAAGTTTAATTATTAAAATAAAAAGGAAGAAGATTTATAAGAAATATTTCTAAGTAATTTTGCACTATGGTTTTTCTAAAACAATACTTTTAACAAGGTATTGGTATGGAGGGTTTTAAGGACAATTTCTATTTTTTAAGTAACTGTACATACATAATTAGAGAATGAGAACACATTTATAATTAAGGTGTTTTAATGTGAGGCTTTCAAGAAAAGTACCTATCAGGTGTTGGAAATGAACTGAAGACATGGCTTTCCTTTCTTCTTTGATCATAACTGAAAGAACATTTCAGAAAAAAGCCAAAACAAAATAAGGATGCTATATAGATTGCTGCTTCTTTTCCAAACACTTTTCAATGTCATCAAGCACTTGAACAGCAGCCCTTGGAATTCGAGTTCCAGGACCAAATACATGGGAAACTCCAACTTCATATAGAAATTTGTAGTCCTGTTGAAAGAATTTATTTAATTAATGAAAGGACAGCATTTCCAATTTTAAAGAAATAAACAAACAAAAGCAATACACCTTTTCCTTTGTCTCCAGTGCCCAAAACTTTCTCAGACATGTAAGGCTAAAACATATTTCCTTGACTGGCACTGCTAATAATAACCAGTTGCCACTGTGCCCACATGCTGTTTGAGGTGGGAAGTTATATGGCCCCAACTAAGAACTTCTGAACTCTAAACCGTAATTTTCTCTCACCTAAATTTTCATGACTTGTTATTATTTGTGTTAAGTTTTAGTATCATATTATAGCTTTAAGTTTACAAGGCTATTTATTTCCTCTTAGGTATTTTGTCTACAGCTAGTGAATAGTGGTACTTTGGCCTCATGATAAAATCAGATTTTCTATAAATGAAGACTAGTTCATTGTTTTCATTCTGTTGCTAAAGCTATTTATTAGTTTATTGTTTTTATTATATGTATTGGTGGTACTGGGATTTGAACTCAGGACTTTGCACTTGCTAAGTAGGGGTAGGAGTGCTACCACTTGAGCTATGCCTTCAGTCCTTTTTGCTCTGGTTATTTTGGAGACAGGGTCTCACTGTTTGCCTGGGCAGGCCTAGACCCAGCTCCTCCTATTTTACACTTTCTGCTGCAGCTAGGATCACAGGTGCATGCCACTACACCCAGATTTTTGCCCCCGTTGAGATGGTTTCTGGGCTGGCCTGAAACTGCAATCCTCCCGATCTCAGCCTCCTGCTTACTTTGGAATGACAGGCGTGTGTGCCTAGCTATTGGCTGAGATGAGTTCTTGTTAACTCCTAGCCTGGACTGGCTTTGAACCACTATCCTCCTGATCTCAGCCTCCCAAGTAGCTAAATTACAGGCATGAGCCACCAATGCCCACATTTTATTAGGTTATTTTAGTGATAAAGTTTAGTGAAAGAATTCCCAAGGCATAAATACTGCCCCAGACTTTCTGCTGTTTTAACATCAGAGCATTTCAAGCTGTAATATCTAGTTCAGGACACACTTCGAGTCCCTAATCCTTATCACGTATGACAGCATGGTCTGGTTTGTATATTACTGTTGCAGCATTTGTTTGTTTTGTTTTGTTTTTATTTGTGTAAAGTCAAACCCTTTCAAGTAGCTTAGGAATTGTTGAAATGAGAAGTGGTTGTTTCTTATGTGAACAAGCAAATGTTTAGAACCAGAGTGCAGTGACTAGAACAACTGAACTAGAAGGAGAAATGGTCTCCATTTTTTGGAGCTGAATGGAGCCAGAAGAAAGCAGACAAGAATGGCCCAATTTTAGTTTCCTTCTCCTGTACCCTCTACCTCCCAGGGTAGTCAGAGATCAAACCTAGGACCCTGGGCTTGCTAAGTGAGCACTCTAGCATTCAGCCATGTTTCTAGCCCCTTAGAGCACCCTTTTATAACAGCACCCATTTTCATTCTCAAATGATCATAATTGGATGATAAATTATATGGTCCTCCTAATTATCTTCTAACTATTCCTTTCTGTCTCTATATATCTTTGTAATATTCTTGTAGAACTTTAATTTTGCAATGACATTTAACACATCTTATTGAGCCTGTGTCCACGAGAGTAGAGATCATGTCCAATCAGCTTGACCTCACACTTGACCCACAAAGGCACTCAAAACACGTCATTGTCCTTGAGCAGGTGCCAGACATTTTTAAACTGCGTAAAAAAACCAAATGTAATATATAGTAACAGTCATCTAACAACAGGGAATCAGCTGATAAAGATACCTCCTTTTCTTCCTATTAATGCAATGTGCTTTTTGTCCTAACATCTGAGTTATGGATTTGGAATGGTATATTCAAGTGGGAGAAAATCATGGAATATTGAAACTAAAGAGTTTTTTACTTACTAAGACTTATGTAATTTTTTAAAATGTACTTTAGTGTGACAGTAAAATATCAGAAATTAGTGAATATAGGTAAAGGGCTGTCCTTTTTACTGTTTTTATTTGTGTACCTTATGTGTTAGTTTGAAATTATTTCCAAATAAAAAGTTATCATTTTAAAATGTCTTCCATATAGCTGGGCCAGATATCCTATTTCATGATGTAAGCAGGCATCATATGTTTGCTAAACTTACCTGAAAGACTTGGGGACACTGGGATACTGCTACTAAGATGGTTAGAAGATCCTGACTATAAAATAACATACTAGTGAGGGTAGACCATAGTTATTCAACTGAACTACAGAGAGTATAAACTCCACAGAGGCAGGGGCTATTATCTGTTTAAACACTGCATATTGATGTCTTCTAATTTTAAAACTAAGTGACTTTCAATTGAATACTAGTATTTTATATGTTCAATGAGCTGTGCCTTGGATAAGTGTCCCCTAAATGCCCATATGTTAAAGATTTAGTCGCAGTCCCTGGTTCTATTAGGAGATGGTAGAGCCTTTAGGAGGTGGGACCAAGTGGGAGGGAGGTCTTAGATCACTGGTAACCAAGCTTTTGGGTATGATATTAAATGTAAGAACCGAAATAATTAGGGAGCCGAAAATGTTTGGATTGTCTAAGAGCTTAGGGCATAATAATCTCCATAACTTCAAGACACATGTGTTCATAGGTAGACAGCACTAAAGAACAACAGACCTAAAACAAACAAAAAATACAACAGCCCTTAGCCAGGTGTGGTAGTGTGTGCCTGTAGTTCTAGAACTCAGAAAGCTGAGGCTGGAGGATCACTTGAGCCCAAGAATTCTAGACCAGCCTGGGCAACACAGCGGATAGTTTACTGAATATAAAGAAAGTAGGTATCTGTCATAAGTTGCTGTTTGTAAGGAGGTAGCTTTCTCATAGGATCTTGGTAACCTGTTAAATTATTCACACTCAATTAAAAGAAAATAACACTGCCCACTTTTGATCTCTCCAGAATGTATTTAGTGGAATCACTAGACAATAATTTGGCTCTAAATCTACATCTTCAGAACTACTTATAATTATCATTACTCAGAATTCCCATCACAGTACTAGAAAAATACTGGACAAGGAAACTACCTGTGGTGGTATCACCCCTCCACACATAACAAGGATATCAGGCCGTCCAAGGGCACCAAGTTCTTTGATGAGCTCAGGAACGAGGGTTTTATGGCCAGCAGCAAGTGTGCTCACGCCCACTGCATGCACATCTGCGTCCACAGCCTGTTGGGCCACTTCACGGGGAGTCTGATCAGAAAGAAAAGGTACAAATCATTGTCAGTTATTAGGTAATGAGCAATTACTAGGAAAAGCCTGTTGTCAAGTGTTCTGCCACTTAAGTCAACATTCCAATAGTTTTCTCATTAAAAATCTTTAATTAAAAAAAAACCTTATTGAGATGTAATTCATATACACTTCACCTATTTAAAGTTTGCAGTTCACTGGTTTTTAGTATATTTACACAGTTGTGCAACCATCACAAGAGTCAATTTTAGAACAGTCATAAAAAGTTGATGTGAGGCCAGTCATGATGACTCAAGTCTGTAATCCCAGCTTCTTGGGAAGCAGAGGTCAAAAAGATCGAAGCTTGAGGCCACCCTGGGCAGGACCCCATCTCAACCAATAAGCTAGGTCTGACATGTATGCCTGTCATCTCAGCTATGCAGGATGCATAAATAAGAGGATCGTGGTCCAGGCCAGCCAGGGCAAAAACAGAGGCACAACCCAAAAAAATTACTAAAATGAAAAGAGCTACGAGCATGGCTCAAGTGGTAGAGAATATGCCTAGAAAGCATGAGGTTCTGAGTTCAAACTCCAGTACCCCTATGAAAAAAGTATTGTGAATATCAGTCCGTATTTCCTCATTCTTAATATTATAAGCAGCACAAAAACTATTGCTGTAATGAACATCAATAGTATACTTGATGTTAGGTCTGAGTTAGATCAAAAATTAGTGCCCCCCAAGGACTACTCAGAAGTAATGTAGAAAAGTATTATCTCTTACTACAATTTCTTCAAAATGCATCTGTTATCCTCATTACCAACACTTACTGAATGGTTATACAGTACCAGGCAACATGTACAGTATCTGTGAAGTAAAGGACTAAACTCAAAATGCAATATAAAAAATTAAAACTTAGGTCTTAAAACAGAACAGGAAAGAATGAGGTCAGGAAGATAGAGGACAAGGAGCTCCAGACTCTTACTCTCCCATAAACACAACAAATCAACAGCAGTATATGGACTAACATTTTTATGAGAATGCTAGAAATTAGGTGTGAGGCTTCAGAACCCAGGTAAGTGGAGGCTTTGCCTCCATTAAGTGGAATTACCCACTTAAACACACAGAATCATAAAGGATACTTTAAGTATTCAATCATTAATGGAGCTGTCCGAGATTATAACCCTCTCAGCACTGAGTTTCTCACAATGCTTTAAAATAATTTTGTATAAAAGATAGTTACAAATTTGTCACTGTAAATGTAAAATTTAGGAAGAATGACATTATCACAGAAACCACTGTACAATTATAACCACAAAAAATTCATTAATCTGTAAATTTTCCATGTTTGGCAAGATTTTAAGGCTCATAATTTTAGTGTATAACCAGAAGATTCTATACTCTCAGGAATGGAACCACATATCAATACATCACAGGTAAGTCACACAGCATGTGACTTGAAAGAAGATTACATATTCTTGCATTTAATTTCTGAAGAGGTGAGAAATTCAGCTAAGCATCACAGCCATTTATATAATCCATGCTACCAAAATAGGTTAGTTCAAACTTGTATTTAATTCAGTTCCATGCTTTATGCTTATATAAATTAAACTGTATTTTATATTAATAAATGTTAAAAAATATTTTAAACTTCAAATCCAGTTTTGACTAAATTGGTCATCAATGAACTATAGGATTGTAACTTTATCCACAAAAGGCATTAATTAATATTAACATTAGTATACATATATTTATGTAACAAATTAAAAATTTTAAACAAAATTTGAAATGCTAAGATTTCAAATTACAGTTTTATACACAGGATATAAAAATGAAATGAACATGTAGTTTATTGAAATTTTCCTTTAAGTGCAATAACGGTTTAAAAATACTTCAATTTTATGAAAGAATAGTTCCTAAAACTTAAATCACTAAAATCAAAAGTGTATTATATTTGAAATCAAAAACAAAACTAAAGTACAAGAGTAACAGAATATAGAGTTCAGTCAAGCAAAGCAACTTTGTTTTAACTGAAAAAGATGGAATGGGAAAAGATTCAACTTAAAGGAAGAACAAAAGCAACCAAAATATATACACTTGAGATTCTTAACAAAATCTGCGATAAATGTTAAGGTTAAATACATTTACACAGTCATATATTAAAACAGTTCAAGGACATATCTCCAGAAGTTTGGGCTAATTCTTCCTAGTTACAATTTCCTCTAGACTCTCTCAAGTTAGTATTTTAAAATTTAAAAGGAGAAAATTCTGGAGGGAGATTGCCCAAAGACTGGGTTTCTCAAGAAGGTTTCCTACTTCACTTATCTAGGATGACCTAAATAATTGTAAAATAATGATACATCCTTCCCCTTGAAACTTCTTTTCCCACTATGCATCACATTTCATCTCAATCTGTCACTGCCTACTTCTCCACTATTTCCTTTTAATGTTCAGATTCTTTCTTTACATCTCTGTCCACATTCCTCATGCAAAGTTACATCCATTTATATAATGATAAAAGTGTCAAAACTTTGTCTCTAAAGTAGAGTCTCTCCTATGCTCCAGATGTGTGTCTAACTTATAAGGTCACCTTAGTCTTAGTGTTCTAGAAGCACTCAAACACAACATGTCCAAAATCAAACTCAGTCCCTATATTATACTCTCTCACAGTTCTGGAGTCTAGCAGGCCATAACCATAACCAGGGTGTCAACAAGACTTCTAGCCAAAGTCTTTGCCTCTTCCTAACTTCTGCTGGATGCCAACAATCCTTGGCATTTCTTGGTTTGTAGCTGCATCTCCTTAGTCTCTGCTTTTAATCTCTATTTAGATAACTAATAGCCAATTTGCTTACACATAATACTTCCATTATTTAAAAAAAAATTTTTATTAGGATACGGAATTCAGGGAAAGAGGGAAAGGAAAAGAGAATGATAGAGCATCAGTAATATTATAAAGCATTATGCCTGTGAAGGTAGAGGATATAAGGATGTGTATTGAAAACTTCATTAATTTTTGTGAAACTTTTGCTGTTTGTACCCAGCCTGCAGCTACAATTCAACCATGATTTGACAAAATTGGACTATGGATAAATGCTTATGATCTGATTCAGCAAAGAAGATATCTGCATCATTGAGTAAATGTAGTTCTCACATGGACTGACTGATACTTTTGCTTCGAGAGCAAAAAGTAAACCACAGACATATATCAGAACTTCATCTGTTTACAAGAAATATGAGTGATCTGCTTGCTAAATCATAATACTTTTTGAATACTAGAAGAATATTACCTGAAATTTTGGGGCACTTCACAAAATAATGGCAACAAATCTGACAAATTTTAAATTTAATTTGAATTATTTACATTTTCTTCATCACACTTACACATTTCAATAGTCAAGAAAATAGTAAATCAATTGCTCATTTTTAGTGTTTGCTAGTTTGCATGGTGTGAATATTCCAAATTGCCCAATGTCAATCTACCAACTGACACTACTGCAAGCTAAGCAGGAAAAGATGTACAGTAGCTCCCATGACACAGTATCTCCACCACATAGACACAAGAGACAGAGATAAACTTAAGAGCTCTTAAATGTATCGTCCCTATCCCATGAACTGCATCCTAATTTTACTTTTGCCATTAGCTGAGGCTCAATGCTTTCTCCTACTTCTGTACCTCTGCTCAAGCCAACCCTCCTTCGTAGCTAGCCCTGCTCTGCTTGTTCTCTAGGCTTTTCAAAGGCATAGCTTGGACACGGATTCCTAAGATACTTTAAATAAGTTAGGGGCCCTAATAATTATAATAATTATCACACTCTGCTGTGATTACTGGTATGTAAATCTCTCTTGTTAGAAGACTGTTATCTCTCTGAGGACAAAATTTTATCATACTCAATTCGGAGCCTAGCATCCGGTAAGTAACCTGTATATGTTTAGCAGATAAAGCTTACAGTACAAAATTAAAATGTATTTTTCAGTCAAAGATTTCTTTTTTTGTAGTTGAATAATTAGTGTTAGCATTCTAGAGAGAATTTCTACTTCACTGACCTCCGAGAAATTATTTTCTTGTCTGGGTCTGATATTCTTTCTGTAACTAAATAAAATACTAGTAGAAAGTAAGAAAAGAGAAAACCTTATGAATTAAGTTTACTCTGATGTTTGCTTTGTTTTTCAAAACACTTTCTATCAATTCCATGTGGGCTTCCTCTCACAAAAGATTAGTCAACTCTCAAAGAACACAGTAAGACCTTTGAAAGTAATCTTCAGCTTCCAATGCCAAATAAAAATTGTAGTTCTGATGTTTATTATGGCAAAGTCTGAATTAACATTAATTTTAATTTTTTTAAATTAATTGGGTTATATGCATTCAAAAATAGAGAATTTTGGAACATACTCTTTTTTTGACTTTAAAAAAAATCATCTTGGTCTGTCATCATTTTTCTACTTTTTCTAAACATGACTTAAGTCATACTCTGAAATTGTCCCAACAATTTTCAGTACCTGAAAAAGAGGGCCTATGTCCACATCAAAGCCAAGATCAGCAAACCCTGTAGCAATCACTTTTGCCCCTCTGTCATGGCCATCTTGCCCCATTTTTGCCACAAGAAGACGAGGTCTGCGACCTTCACGTTCCATGAATGTATGAACTCTAAAGAACATTTTAAAAGACAACAACGGTTAAATATTAACTGTCCAAAGGTAGGACATAAGTTTATTCACAGTAAAATTTCAGTAAATCTGTCAAGAATACCTAATCTGTTTACTTGTATTTTTTTGCTAATATCTCTATTTTAAAATGAGAACACCATTAAAACCCAGATATATTTACTACCTCCCACTTAGAGGAAAGCTCACCACAGAGAATATCATAATATGCAACATGAAAATAAAAATGATCACTTTCCACCTTCCTGAGCAAATATGACATGCAGATGTACTTACATATAAATGTTAAAGCACCTTTCTGGGCTGGAGGCATGGCTCGAATGGTAGTACACTTGGCTAACAAGTGCAAGGCCCTGAGTAAACCCTCAGCACAAGCAAAAGCAAAGCCCCTTTCAGAGTGTTTATACATATATGTGACCCACTAGCAGTGTTAAGCTGTCCCTAAATCACCCACCCTTTGCAAGAATGAATCTCCCAGCTGACTGCAATGTCTTCTTATAATGGCATGTAACCAAAACTCTTGTTTAAAATGACAAATTTTTACCAAACATGAAAAAGTACTACATTAATTTTTGCTAAGTGAAAAAAAGAATATTCCTTTTGATAACTTTTACCTTGATTGTTTTAGTATTTATATAATGTATAAGTATTAACACAAAGTTTTAAAAGGAAGTTTATTACAAAGGTTGATAAAACCAACCATCAAGAAGTCAGTTTTAACATCTGAGAAACACAATCACATTATTCTATATTTCCATGTCATGCTGTGGCCATGTTATTGTCAGGTCAGTGAAGACTGATCTTATTTCCAAAAGGAACCTAAGATTTCTGTCATTGTAGTTATTCAAGCAATTGAACAATGTGAACAAACTTAAGAAAATATAAAAGTCTACCACAGTATGCAGATTGACAGCTGTATCACCAGGAAGCTATGGAGCAATACAAGGGTTACATAAACATCTGTTTAAATGGGAAACTCCTAAAGGGGACTATGGGGAAAGTTCAAGATATTATCAGTTTTACTAAAACTAATATTAGTTTTCATATTTAATTTACTCTTTAATAATTAGTAAATAATATATGTCATACAATTATATATAGTCATGCTTAAAACATGGACATATTCTGAGAAATGTATCATTAGGTGATTTCATCATTGTGTAAACATTATAGAGTGTATTTACTTACACTTAGACTGTATGGCCTACTACACACTTAGGCTCTATGATGCATATGGTATAGCTTATTGCTCTTATAGCAATGATGAACAAAACAATGAGATTAAATCAAATACAAGAGAAAATGATATACTCAAGATACACTGCAAGTACAAAATTACGGGGCTGCTACCTACATAACATTGCATACTATTTTACAGTAGATCTTTTAAATCGGTAGAAAGAATATACCTTACAATAACAACAAAAATTATAGCATCCTAGTAACAGAGCTGTTTGTTTTCATTAAGAATTACCTTCTATAATGACTGTATGTACTATGCTTCTGTATGACTGGCAGTGAACACATGTATACAGCATCACAACAAACACATGAATAATGCCTGTACCACCATGTCACTGTGTCTATTGCTGTATCACTAGGAAATAATCTTATAATCATACCATCGTATACATGGTCCAACACTGAACAAAATGTCAATATTCATATTGGTGCATGACTGTATATTTATGATCATATATTACACATGACAAATAAATTATATACCACATATATCACGAATCATATATTATGCCATTACATATTATGTTAGTTATGCAACCAAAATAACAGTATTTAATTTAGTGTTTTTCAGTTTTACGAGAATCACAGACTAATAGAAAAGACAATTCAAATATTTCCCAAGTTGTATGTGAGAAAACTAAGCCTAGAGTAGAATTAAGGGAATTGTGTTAATGGACAAAAGAAATTCTAGCTTAAGAATCTTACATATTACCTTTTGATAGCAGATGTTATCTCCTTACTTTCTCCAAATTCCTGGCGATATGCTCCACTTACCATACGATCACTAGCTTGATGTTCACCAAATACCTTTTTCATGGCATCTGTGATTTCTCCAACTGTGCATCTAAAATATTAAACACAGGTTCCAGTAAGATCATTATTTTGAAATAATAGATATTTGTTTATCATAATGGTCAATACAATTAGACATATTTTATTATATACATAGAAAACAGACTGTCAAAAACTTAAAACAAGAATTTTCTAATGCATGAAAGCATTTTCCATATACATTCCAAGTCCAATTTCAAAATCTGTCAACCAAAACAAAATGACTAAATGACCTGAAAATTACAAATAGACAAGTACCTGAAAGCTACTCAATAATTCCCCACTTAACAATACAAATGAAGAGGAAGACTCCCACTGATATTTTTTATAAGAGGTTAAGTCTTTGAGTATGTTCCATCCAAAAAGGAGGCTGCTGATGAACTTAGTTATATATTACAGAAGAAAACAAAATAAAGTATGTCAAGATGTCAACAAGAGAGGAGACTGGGAACAATTTTGAAAATTATTCTCCTACCATCACGTTCCCCCCCACCTTCTCACCCTACTTTCATCTTAAAACAATACATGGCTTTAGCAAAAGGGGAAAAAGATTGGGACAAAGCAGGGGGTTGCTCTACTGGTTACTACATGGTTAAGAATAATTCAGAAGCAATGACAATAAGTTTTATCAATTTTCAGATAAATGCTTCCACACCCCTACCAAGGACTATCAGTATCAAGGTAGCATGTATAACCTTGATGATATACTTGAATATATCAGATTTCAACCTGTAAATCCATGAAACAGATTCATCATAGCAGCTTGAAATGTTCTGAGTTACAGTGGAATACACAGGTATTAAATATCCTATACAAAGTACATGAATGTTTCAAATGCACAGGAACAAGAGTTGGATTTATTATAGTTTCCATTATTCTCTTTTGGGCTCAAAAAGCCTATAGGATCAATCTTTCACTTGGATATACTCTGAAAAAGCTAAACTGGTCAAACTTGTAGTATTTGGAAATGTCCACACTTGTCTATCCTTACCTTGCACGAGCTGCGTCCACTGCAAGAGCCAAGATATTCCCATCCCCACTGGCAGCACACTGGGTTAGTGCAGCAAGACACTGTTCAGCCAAAGCTTGATCCCTGCTGGATTTGACCTTATGAGAAAAACCAAGGACATGGACAATTTGTGTGAAATGGGAGTAAAATACATAACAAGAGATTAAGCCTTAATATATACTGTACTGAATTTCTTCTGTAATCCTAACTTCAAACATAGGAGAAAAAAATGAAGAGAATAATATGTAACCTAAGAAGTACATTCCTGAATTTAATTCATTCACACAGAATTTCCCGAAATAATTCTAATTTGGTGTAACCCTGATAAATCAGAAATGAGCAGGGAAATATTACCTGCTGATCTTCTAAGTAACAATTTAGGCTTTTAAAAAGTATCAAAACATTGAAGGCAAGTGACTCTCTTAAAGAAGCACCTCAAAGGAACCAGAGAGATTAATAGTCAGAGGGAAAAAATAATAGGTCAGAACTTAGAGAACAGTTTCATTGCATTTTGTTTCTTTTAACTAATTAAAAATACATTGGTAATAATACATATCTATGCATATACATATATTGCTATTGTTTGTGTTTAAAAATAATCCCAACAGGAGGGAGGGCGGGATAGAGAGAGAGAGAGAGGGAAACCAAGAAAGAGACAATGAAAAGCACTAAAAAGACTTTCCCCCAGGTCCAAGCTCTACTCTGCTCTACCAACACTTTATAAGCTGCACCAGTGGCAAACTAGGACACTGCTCAAAATGCCACCAGTATCACAGAGTCTCTGCAACCAGAAGTAGAACAGGAAATTTATGCTGAAGCAGGAAAAACTGCACTGCAGATTCTCTATGAAAATGTACATTTTTCTTTATATGTTATAGATTTTGAAATCTAAAATTTCTGTCCTAAGGAAAGGCAATACAGTATAGCATGGTTTTCATCAAGTATGAGTTCTAACCCATTACAAAACAGCAATGTAGAATTACTGGAGTGATCAGCATTTACAAGATAGAATAGAATAAAAATACCAACGCGCACAGGATAGTTTGCAAAAGTACTATTTTGTGAAACTTTTACCTTGGCTATGAGTGCATTTTTACATGTGCATGTAAATAAGCATGCAGATAAAATGTGTTCCTTACTGTGACTCATGGTCAAAGAAGTTGGAATTACATTGTTATAGAGTAGAGAACATAGACAAAGAGTCACACTGAGGTTCAATTTCTAGCACTGACATTTGTTAGCTAAAGACATAAGAAAATTAGTATCATCTCCCCATATTAATTGTCTGCCAAACTGGATTGATGAAAAGAATAAATAGAGCTCTCATGAGGATTAAACGAGCATGGGCGCACACACCAGCAATCCCAGCTACTCAGAAGGAGGAGATGGGGAGGATAGTCAAAGTCAGCCTTGGGAAGAAAATAGTGAGACCCCATCTCAGCCAACAGGCTGGTGTTGTAGCATTGACCTGTGATCCTAGGTACATGGGAAGCTGTAGACAGGATAAATGAAGCCTGATGCTGGCCATAGGCAAAAACACAAGACTCTACCTGAAAAATAACTGTAAAAGGATTGGGAGTGTGGTTCCAGTGGTAGAGCTCCTGCCTAGCAAGTGCAAGGCACTGAATTCAAGCCTTAGTACTGAAAATAAGTCTGAAGAAAGGATTTAATGAGAAAATGCATATCAGAAAATGCAATTTGTGACATAGACTAGACTTGTATTTATAAAAGTAACAGTAATAACAAGAACTAAGAGAGTCATGCTTTTAGGAAACAAGAGCTTTAGCAAATATCATCTCTATTTACAGCCAGAGTAACATTTATACAGTTAATCATTCAACCCTTGCCATGTAGCTTTACAAATATGTTTAAGACAAAGGATTATCCCTAATTATAGGGGATTTCAAGATATTCAGCTCAAGCAATAATTATCATTTACAAAAATTTTCTAATTAAATTGATGCATTAATTAAGCACTATTAATGGAAGCACAGTTGTAGTCATAGTGATATAACAGTAAGTAAAGCAAAATTCTGCCTTTGTGGCCTTTCATTTCATTAGGTTTATTTTCATTTTATTCATTAAAAGAAAGAGAAACAATAAACACATGAGCAAAAAAGTATCCACTTTAACAGAAAACTAATGCAGACTAAACTAAGAAGTGACTGGAGCAGTGGAGTAGGGTGCCATTGTAAAGTAGGGGTCACTGGAGCAGAGACTGCAAAGTACAGCTCTCTGGGATCAATAAGAATACTCTTTCTAAGAGTAAGTAGTGAGCTATAATTATCAGAACAACAGATTACTAAAATTCATGAAGTAAATAATACATGATAAAATTAACTGGAGCTAGGCATTGGAGTAAAACAACTTAATACCAAATTACTGTTGAGGTGGTTCAGTTTGAGGGAAAAATGTTAACATTACAAGAGAAAGTATTGTTATAATCACTTGTAAAAGAAAAACATTAGAAAATCTAAACTTTAGCTCAGCATTGAAAAGTGCTCAGGGCACCACAGCAGGAATGTATTTCAGTATAAAGCTGTTTCATGTTTTTACCTAAGGTGAAAGTAAACTTTTATAATAGAAGAAGCTACATTTGGTCCTGATCCTAAGAAGTGACTCTAGGTTAAAAATCAGGAAAAGGTTACATCAGAACCTCCATTTCTGCTAAACGAGCACTAGAGTCAGGAAACCCACATTCAAATCACAGCTCTTCCAGTTATGGTGTAAACTTGAACAACTAAAAGATACTCTCCAATCATCAGTTCACACATCTGCTCAGAAGTAAAAACAGTAACTATGTGTTAAATAAAATAATACACAAAGCCACAACAATTTAGGCATGCACTTAGCATACTGAGTCCACAGTAAGTATTCAATAGAATACCAGGACTAGATTGAATCCTGGCTATTCAGTTATTTATTCCAAGCAGGTTTTCTCAATGTGTTATCTTTATTTTTAAAATGATGAGAAATAATACCCACCTGATATGGTTATTGTAAAGATTAAGTAGAACAATGTGACTTAGAACCCAGAATACAGAAAATACTTATAAAATAATAGCTCTTACATAATACCTGCAGCAGTTTTTCAATCTGCTTCTTTCGCACTGAACTGTTGTCAATTGCCAGGACTTCTACAGATTCTTCTTTTTCCAACTGGTACTTATTTACTCCAACAATTACTTCAGAACCTGTTAATTTCCCAGAGGGAAACAGTATGTAGCCTTTATTCCCAAATAGTAGCCTAACAGTAATATTATGATTATCATATATTTTCCTTAAAAGTTTAATATTTTTAAGTAGTATTCTTAACTCTTAAGAAAACTCCCAATCTAGGAGGAGCATGTGAGGAGAAAGAAAAGTTATACATCAGAATCTCTCTAAGGGAGCATCTTTACTATTCTTCCAACTACACATTTTCTTATAGTTTTTGATAAACTTTCTTATAGCACTATATATAATGAAAACAATCAGAGCAGTTACCATGTTAGATGGTAGAGAAAGAACTGACACCCAATAGCTTTTCTTATAATTTCTGAAATTCTCTTAGAGCTAATCACATTTAAACAAAAAATGACAAATACTTTCAGAATCTATGTGATAAATGAAAACTTTGAATTTATTTCCTTACATGATAAAGAATCTATTTTTCCTCAAGCTATCAGATTATCATTCATATCTAAAGAGAACCACTATTTCTGCTGGGGTTACATTCCTTCTTACTACCTTCATAGAACTTAACACATGCCATAATTATTTTATGTGTTTACTTGTTCATTTTCTCTCTTTACTACACTGTAAAGCTTTATGGGCACAAACTTTATGTATCCTGTTCACAGATGCTTGCCCAGGCATAGTAAGTAACTCAATCACACACTAAAAAGCATCCGATGACTGAATGAATACTCCCACCCAGAGCACAGTGGCCATCAGTAACATCATAGGCCATACCCACTCATACACACACGTACATGATGGATGTGCATTCACACATATGTACATATGCTTGCCTGTGTGCATCCAGTATAGACATATGGATAGTCATATAAGAAAAAAACTCCATTTTTCTATTATTTTTGTTTTATTATTTTTACTTTTAATTAGTGTCTATCAATTATACATGTTGCCTTCAGATGGAAATTAATATTTCTTTTTAAATACTGAGTTTCATATACAAACACTCCTACTTTCTCTTACCAGAATCTATTCTAGCTTGTCTTCGGGCAGCACATTCTTCAATTCGAAGTTTAGGTATTCCCTCAGCTACAGCTTTAGCCATTCCACCCATTTCTTCAATTTCATTAATGAGCTAAAAAGAAAAGCAGATTAAAAAACTAGAAGAGAATATGAAAAATTTTAAGTATGCAAATTAGTTCTGAAAGCTATATAATTACTAGTAGTATTAATAAAATTGTAAGGTAAATGCTAGTATTTCATAAGAAAGAAATTAATAAGCAAGGTAATTAATTAGAATTTGTGTGTTTAAAGTTACTTGAAAAGATAATGAAAAAACTAGTAAGTATATTCTAAAAAACACAAAATTTCTCACTCAAGTGAGAAAACCAAAGACTGTATCAAGTCTCTAACCTTCAGTTTTAGTTACATAAATAAAATTCTGTTACATAAACTCTTTAAGAAAAATGTATTTTAAAATGTAATTGTATATTTATCTAGTTAGTCTTGATGTTTTGAGACAGGATCTCACTGTGTATCTCAGGCTGGCCTGGAACTCATGATCCTCCTGCCTCTGCCTCCTAAGGCCAGGATTACAAGAGTGCACCACTAGCAATTGTACTTTTTTTTTTTTCGTTCATATGTGCACACAATGTTTAGGTCATTTCTCCCCTCTTCCTCCCGCACCTTCCCTCTCCCCCTCCCTTGCTTCCAGGCAGAAACTGATCTGCCCTTATTTCTAATTTTGTGAAGATAAAGTATAAACAATAATAGAAGGACAAAGGGTTTTTGCTAGTTGAGATAAGGATAGCTATACAGGGAGATTCCTCACATTGCTTTCCTGTACATATGTGTTACATTCTAAGTTGATTCTTCTCGAACTAACCTTTTCTCTAGTTCCTAGTCCCCTTCTCCTATTGGCCTCTGTCACTTTAAAGTTTCTGTATTAGCTCCTTTGTATTGAGGACATCAAATACTCTCATGTTTTTTGGGTTTCTTACCTATTCTCATACCTTCCCTTGTGTGCTCTCACCTTATCATGTGACCAAAGTCCAATCCCCTTGTTGTGTTTGCCCTTGATCTAATGTCCGCATATGAGGGAAAACATTCAATTATTGGTCTTCTGAGCCTGGCTAGCCTCACTCAGGATGATGTTCTCCAGTTCCATCCATTTACTTGTGAATGATAAGATTTCATTCTTCTTCATGGCTGAGTAGAACTCCATTGGGTATAAATACCACATTTCCTTAATCCATTCGTCAGTAGTGGGACATCTTGGCTGTTTCCATAATTTGACTATTGTGAATAGTGTTGCAATAAACATGGGTGTGCAAGTGCCTCTGGAGTAACCTATGTCACATTCCTTTGGGTATATCCCCAGGAGTGGGATTGCTGGATCATATGGCAGATCTATGTATAGATTTTTAAGAAGCCTCCAAATTTTTTTCCAGAGTGGTTGTACTAGTTTGCATTCCCACCAGCAGTACACGAGGGTTCCTTTTTCCCCTGCATCCTTGCCAACACCTGTTGTTAGTGGTGTTTCTAACGATGGCTATTCTAACAGGGGTGAAGTGGAATCTTAGTGTGGTTTTGACTTGCATTTCCTTTATGGCTAGAGATGGTGAGCATTTTTTTCATGTGCCTTTTGGCCATTTGAATTTCTTCTTTTGAGAAAGTTCTGTTTAGTTCACTTGCCCATTTCTTTATTGGTTCACTAATTTTGGGAGAGTTTAGTTTTTTAAGTTCCCTGTATATTCTGGTTATCAGTCCTTTGTCTGATGTGTAGCTGGCAAATATTTTCTCCCACTCTGTGGGTGGTCTCTTCAGTTTAGATACCATTTCTTTTGTTGTGCAGAAGCTTTTTACTTTTATGAAGTCCCATTTATCTATGCTATCTCTTAGTTGCTGAGCTGCTGGGTTCCATTGAGGAAGACCTTGCCTATACCTATTACTATCAAAGTGTTTCCTACTCTTTCCTATACTAACTTCAGAGTTTTGGGTATGATATTAAGGTCCTTGATCCATTTTGAGTTGATACTAGTACAGGGTGATAAACATGGATCTAGTTTCAGTTTTTTGCAGACTGCTAACCAGTTTTCCCAACAGCTTTTGTTCAAAAGGTTGTCTTTTCTCCATCATATATTTTTAGAACCTTTGTCAAAAATAAATTGGGTATAGTTGTGTGGATTCATATCTGGGTCCTCTATTCTGTTCCACTGATCTTCATGTCTCTTTTTGTGCCAATACCATGCTGTTTTTATTGCTATTGCTTTGTAATATACTTTGATGTTGGTTATTGTGATACCTCCAGCATTGTTCTTTTTGCTGAATATTGCCTTGGCTGTTTGCAGTCTCTTGTGTTTCCAAATGAATTTTAGGTTAGATTTTTCAAAATCTTTGATGAATGTCATTGGAATTTTGATGGGAATTGTGTTGAACATATAGATTGCTTTTGGTAGTATAGCCATTTTTACTATGTTGATTCTTCCAATCCATGAGCATGGGAGATCTTTCCACCTTCTGTAGTCTTCCTCAATCTCTTTCTTCAGGGGTTTATAGTTTTCCTTGTAGAGGTCATTCACATTCTTTGTTAAGTTTACTCCTAAGTATTTGATTTTTTTTTTCAGGCTATTGTAAATGGAATTGTTTTCATATATTCTTTCTCAGTAGCAATTGTACTTTTAATTTGAGCAAGAGAAATCATATCACTCCATCTTTAACTAAACCAGGAAGTATTTAAACCATCAATCATAGCCATATATATAAAAGTAGAAAACAGACGTTGGAATGATGTATGGCTTAGAAAAAAGGAATAAGATCCAACTTGCTTTTCTCTGAAGAATTCAGGAAAGAAGAATCCGTATCAGAGTATACTGAAGAAAAGGGTAACAAAGAAAGCTAAAAAGATGAGGGCTACTTGTAACTTTGCAATTACCCCGACATCTGTCAGGAAAATCAAAGTTTACTCTCTGCAGAACAGATCTAGAAAGGCAGTGAACTATCAAACACCAAATACAAGAGAAGAAAGGATAAAATGTAATATTGAAATAAAAGCCTGAATTCTGATGGGTGAGATTATAGAGAAAAGGGCAGGAAAAAAGACAACATTGAGTGAAGAAGAAAACTTTCAAAAATATCATTAACATCCTATTGATAGGAAGAGATTCTGCATTATTGAAAGAAAATACCATGATACACAAGAGGAAAAATTAGAAGACAAAATGAGCTCTTAGAAATAAAAAAAATGGCATGTTAATGCTAAAGTACTTAAGTAGAAAGATCATGTATCTCCAAGTAAACAGAACAAAAGTCAGAGAGGGATTACAGAAAAGAAGATTAGCACATTATTTAAGGAGGTCCAGTACCTATGACTAGGAGTTTTGAAAAGAGAAGCCATGGAAAAAGTATCAGGAAGAAATTATCAAAGAACTAATACAAGAAATAATCCCAGAGCTATGAAAATATTTTTAAAAGGGTAAGATGGAAAAGACTCAAAGATTCAGTACAATGCAGGAAAAATACACACAGCAGGGTATATATCAACATAAAAAGAAGAGAGACTGACACTTTCAAAAAGAAAGACCTTGAGTGATCAGCATAAAATTTCTGGTCAGACATACTGCAACCTAGAATAAGAAGCTAGAACAAAGAACACACTGGTGCTTACAAACTTGCTTATCAATTTCTTAATGAAATAACTTCAAACCTAGTCAGACTATCAGTCAAGTGTAGGAGAGAATAAAGAAAATTTCAAACATGTAAAGTTCTAAATAGTTTGTCTCCCATGAGCTATTTCTAGGAGGTTGCTAAGAGAAGTACTTCAAAATAAGAGATAGACATTCGATTCAGATTTCAGAATTCAACAGAGGAGAGTAAAAAGTTACTTCCAGGATAATGGCCAAGAGAAGTCAAAGGTTCACCATAGCCAGAAGGCCTAGAGAGAAACCTGTTTAAATCCAGTGAGAATAGTAGAACACCATGGAAAGGACTGTATTAAGGGATAATTACATTGAGAAGAAGAGAAGAGGGAAAGAAGAGGTATGAACCAGCTAAAATTCTAAACTTCCATACCAGGAAAACAATAGATAATGTTTGAGTGTAATGTCTAATGTTAAAATTGACAAAATTAAAAGAAACAGTAGACATGTATGATTTTAAAGTTTGTAGATAAAAACAAACAAAAAAAAAAGAGTATGTAGCTTGCTCCAGGAAACAGGAAGAAGACAATGGAAGACTAAGGGCTACTGTTTATTTGCATAAGCTTTTTAACAAAGTTGTCTTTTTAACTCTGACCAAAACATTTTAATACAAATATATTTTTTAAATTTCAGTACTGAAACTATAAAATCAAATTACATGTTCCTTTTTTCTCACATTTTAAAAATTTTGATATCAATTTAAAAATGATTAGATTTATAAATCAATAAATCTTTATGAATCTAAAAATCTTGAAAGCAGGTTGTAAAGAGGAGAAACTGACCTTCAAAGCAGCATCATAAACATCATTTGTGAGTGATTCCATCATATGTGAACCTCCCCAAGGATCGGCCACTTTGGGAATCCCAGATTCCTCCTGAATGATGATCTGCGTATTCCTCGCAATTCGAGCACTTTTCACAGTTGGCAAACCCAGAGCTTCATCAAAAGAATTTGTGTGCAAGGACTGAGTCCCTCCAAACACAGCTGCCATTGCTTCTATTGTAGTCCGGATAATGTTATTGTAAGGATCCTAAAACATTTGGCAAAAAATGAAAAACAAAACAAGGAAACAGTTGATAGACATCACAGCTATAAAAGATGATATAATTAAGCACTGACTTCTGTTTACTGTCTATGCCAATGTCCACATTAGGCTTAATGAACTTGGACAAATTAGTGAACAAGCTGGAATAAGAATTAAGAGCCAGCTGGGTATGGTGGTGCATACCTCTAATCCCACTACTGAGGAGGGTTGAAAGTTTGAGACCAGTCTAGGCTACACAGTAAGTTTCAAGCCAGTGTGGGCTACATAATGAGATCCTGGCTCAATATAAAAGGGAGGGCGGGGGCTAATGGAATGGATCAAGTGGTAGAGCATCTGCCTAGCAAGCATGAGACTCTGAGTTCAAACCCCAGTACCACCAAAAAAAAAAGAATTAAGAACCAAAGTGTCTAGTCTACGCTTAAATACTAAAATACTGTCTTTTATAATTCTCTTGAAATATAAAGTATTTGTGGTGCATACTTTTATATTGCCAAATATTGTGCCATAAATATATCATGAAAGTACAGCTTTTCTACTTGGGTTATATCTCCTTACCATCTCAAATTATTTTGTATACCTCAAATTATCTACCACAATGATGTGCACCAAACAAGCACTCATAGTGAACAACAAAACAGATCAACCCTGAATTATGAGGTGGGAAATTAGGGTTGTAGTTTACATATTCCTAATGATGATTTGGGCATGTCATTGGGCTTCTCTGAATTTCAGTTTCCTTTGTTTAAAATAGTAGATTAAGACAAAAAAGATTATTAAAGTTCTTTCCAACCTCAAAATCTCTACTTCTTCATTCATAAGGACCTGAAATTATATTTCATATGGAGCAAATCAATTGTTACTCACTTTTAAATGTATAGGATCAATGCAACTTTGAAACTTTAAACTTGTTACTTAAGTGATAAAAGTCTTTAAATGGTATGTTGGCTTGCATGCTTATTTAGAACACAATTTTAATAAATAACATATATATGTGAGTGTATATTAAATTTTAATTAGGCAGTTTTATGCTAAAATTATAATTCTTAGAATTATATATGAGATTAATTAAAATGGCTTTTACTTGTCATCAATTTGTTTTTTATTTTTCAAAAAGTAAAATAGCACCATAAGCTAAGATGTAAATGATTTTATATTGTTGACCACTAGATGGAGCCAACTCTATTTATTCAATATGTAAATACACACCTAAGCATGTTCTATGCTTCATAGTATTTATGATTTTCAAATATTACCAGATAGGTTATTAAGCACAGTTCCTGATTATGCCGTATCACTTAGAAGAAAGCAGTTACTTTAGTTTCTTATTAAATTCCTGCTTTAAATGATGTACATACCTGCTCAGTGAGTGACCAGCCTGACGTCTGACAATGTGCTCGTAGAAGAAGGGATTTAGAGTTTTTAGGCTTAAACATCTTCTCTATTAAGTGAGCCCACAATCTTCTCCCCGCTCTCATCTTTGCTATTTCCATATAAAAGTTCATCCCAATTCCCCAGAAGAAAGATAACCTAAAACAGTAAAGTCCAGAATTTGCTTAAATGTAAAAATATAAAACAGAAAATAAAATTGATTGCATCAAAAATAGAAAAATCAATGTCCAAATTTTAATATCAAACAACTGAATTTGAATTAAAAGCAATGCACATATACTTTAGTAACTGTAAGCCTATCATATAAATGTGCAGTTTAAGCATGCAGCAGTATCCCTCTAGTATCAATAATTATTTACATATATATATACACATATACACATATATGTACATATATAGATCTCTATATGTGTGTATATATATATATATATATAAAGATCTATATACACACAGATACATATAGTATGTAGAGCAGGGGTTGTCTAAGAAGGGAATAAATTGACAAGCTTGCTTTATTTGGGCAGAGAAAAGGTTTCTTTTTTTGTTTAAAAGAATGATCTATCTTGGCATATTTTTCTCCAATTTGTCCCTAACCTCACTACTTCCTTTTACCTTATATTCTGTATCTGATTTACACATTTATGCTGCTAAACTATCTCTAAAGTTACAAAGGTTACTTTAAGATGAACCTTAAGACACCAAAACTTAAAAATTCTTGATATATACATGGAAGAAGTTCTTAACACAGCAGTTCTCAAGTATTTTGGTCCCAGGATCTTTCTTCATTCTTAAAAAGTGCTAAAGATACTAAAGAATGTTTTTTATTTGAATAGCATTGTTATTTAACAATAATAAACCTAAACATATGTAACACTTCTATGAAAAATAATTACTCTAATAAAACATTATATTCAAAGAATCACTGTTTTACATTTTTGCAAATCTCCTTAATGTGTGACTGAGAGAAGACAATTGGAGTCTTATCTCCTTCTGCATTTGATTAGTTGCAATGTGGCTTTTGGAAAAGACAACTATAAACTCTTGGGAGAATGAAAATGAAAGAAGCAAGTAAAGTTTTGAAATAATCAGGAAATAGTTTGATCTTGACGACCCTAGGAAGGGTTTCAGCAATCCCAGGACTCCCTAGGCCATATTTTGATGGATACAAAATATCCCTGGGATAAAGGAACATTCACTTTCTCTAAACTCTCTGAAGACAGAGTCACATGTAGCACTTGTCCTGGCAGCATGAAGGAGGGCGCTTGGCTCAGAGCAAGAAGCTTAGTGAGCAATTGCTAAACTGAGTAAACCCCAGACTGATTTTTGACCCCTAAGTTCAAATATTTCACAAACTTTATTTAAATGTTCCCATATTTGGAACATTTAATACAAATTTGTTAACCAGGTGCTTTAAAACAAAATGGTTTATATAGCACTGTGCATCCCAAAACACTGCATTACATAAATAAGTACAGCTGATGAAAACATTTCCAAATTTTCAGATGAAAAAAAATTTTAAAGTATCTTACCCGATGTTTATTTTTAATATTTGTTAAATATGTAAGTTAATTGTGTCCTCTGAATAGCTGTAGATATTATATCCCCCTAATTTATAAAGTATAGACAAATTTAATTCTCATTTTTTATAGTAGAGAGTATTGACTTATTTTCTCATTATCACTCAGAACATAAGACAATCTAAATCTCGCATAAAATTTATATTTACAAATTCATTTTATCATTATATTTTGTCGCGGGGCATAAAATGGCCTATACATTTTCTTAATGCTGAGACCATATTCAGCTTTGTTTACTCACCTGGGTGCAAACTCATCAATCGTTAGGCCAGCTTGGAGTCCAGTTCTACAATACTCTAACCCATCTGCTATGGTATAGGCCAGCTCCAGAATGGCATCAGCACCTGCTTCCTGCATATGGTATCCACTAATTGAAATCGAATTAAATTTTGGCATGTGCTGTATTAAAAAATACAACGGTGGAAAATGTTAAAAGGTAATATTAAACCCATTTTCGAAAACAAGGAGCATGTTTACCTGATGCTCAACTCACGTACCCCTGACAGTTCATAACACTAGCTGAAAACGGTGTTTGCTGTACTCTAATTTAAATGGCTGGTCCATGAACTAACATCAAGATTACTTCTGGTAGAAAGAATATGCCCTTATCATATTTTAGGGCTAACCAAAAGAAGACATCTTTAATTCCAAACCAATATTCTGTCCTTATTAGAGTTCATAAGACGTTATAACTTTTCTTTAATCTGCAAAAGACACATAAATTTATATTTACTAATTATTTTCTTAATTAAATGAAGGCATCAACTTGAGTAAGTATAGAGTCAAAAGAAGAAAAGATCCTTAGTGCTATATTTTGAAACAAAACCATACAATGCATGCCTTAAAATCAAATTTGATTCAGTATTGTACTTAATGCTTAATCCCAAGTAGGGTCTTTGTACACAATCACTAAGAAAGCCAGGCATCCCCGGTGGCTCACACCTGTAATCCTAAGGGAGACAGAGATTCAGAGGATCATGGTTTAAGGCCAGCCCAGACAAACAGTTCATGAGACCCCCATCTCTAAAATGACCAGAGCAAAATGAATTGAAGCTGTGATTCAAAAGGTAGAGTGCCTACTTTGTAAGCACAAAACCGAGTTCAAACCCCAGTCCCAACAACAAATACATATAATAATGCATTCTACTATTTTCCTAAAATTTCATGTTAGGTATAATACATAATTGCATACATGTTAGGTAGAGTACATTTATATACAGTCATAATTACATACATTATTATATCCAAGTTAACTAAACAGAAAATAATAAAAACTAAATCAAAGAATCTTAGTACAGTGGCTACAAACATGGGCTCTGTCGTCAGAGAACTCAAACTCTAGCTATGTCACTTCAGTGGCTCAGGCTATAGACAAATTTCCCAACCTAACTATTCACTGGTTTCCTAAACTACAAAGTAGAGATAATAATTGCACCTTCCTTATGGAATTGTGTTAGGACTGAATTAAATGATTCATTTAAAACACTTAGTGTTACTCCAGTATATAGTAAGCACTCAAAAAAAGTTGTCATTGTTAATGTATGACATGGATTAAGTAGTCCATATATTTGTACACCATACATTTGTATCTAAAATACAGCTATGTATTTTACATTTGAAAACTAGAATTCTATTTGCAACTAACTAATATCTCATTAAAATGTTCTATCACAAAAACAACAAGGGGATGAAATCACATGGAATTGAGACTAATGATGTATATTTGTAATTTACATACAAGAAGCAAAGAAAAGGTGCTTCTCTATGCAAAGGAGTTTACTGGCAGAATTTAAAAAAATAGAGATATAAGAATACTAGAATTATTACTCAACCTTAAAAAGGATGACAATTCTGACACACACTATAACATAGATAAACCTTTAAGATACTATGTTAAATGAAATAAACCAGTCACAAAAAGACAAATGCTGGTAATGATTCCATTTATATGAGGTACCTAGAGTTAAAATCATAGAGATAGCAAATAGAATGATGGTTTCCAAGAGCTTGGGGGAGGAGTGAATAGTGACTTGTTGTATAACAGCTATGTAGAGATTGAGTTTTACATGATGAAAGGTCTGAAGACAGACGGTGAGGGCTACACGACAAAGTGAAAGTATTTACTACCACTGAACTATACACTTAAAACTGATTAAGATACACGAAGGATTATGTAAATCAATTTTGAACTTTTAGATGACATTAGCATATTTTACAAGGTGAAATACTCAAGTATGTAACAGGAGAGACTTATACTAGCTACTCCAGCAATTATTCTTCACTTTCTTCCTTTATCTGCTGAATCAAAAATTCAGAGTGGCAAAGTATAAGCCCAACATTTCCAATCTTCTCTTACTATTATATGTGTTCAATGAGGTACAAGTCAAGTTTAGCATACTCCTTCTGGAAGTTCACTTTAAGTGAGATGAGCTGGGTTCCTCTCCCTCTGACCCAGACCTGGCCCACTTCCTTCCTCCCTTATGGTGAGCTGACACACTAACAACAGAGGACAAACAAAACAAAAGGAACCTGGAACTCTAATGAATGTGGAGCTTCCATACCTGCAAGCACCTGACAGCATATCTTCTGACTTCTTAAGATGAAAGAGAAATGAGTGTATTTAGTTTAAGCTACTGCTATTTGTGTGTTAGCAATAAACACACACCTCCTGTGTATATGGTCCTGAAATTTAAAAAGGTGATGGAAGTATACAATTATATGAAATACAATTCACTTGGGCAGATGCAACACATGAAAAAAAATATTTCCAAGAATAAAAACTAAATATCAAAGAGTGTAGGTAGAGCTCTGAGATAACAGTAATTACAATGGGTGAGTAAGATTAAAAAAAAGGTAGGATTAAAGACAAAGATAAAAAGTTTTGATGGAGAACAGAATTTCCCTTTGTCATTAAATTGTATAACTTTAAGGTAGAGAAGGAGGAGAGGATTGCTAGCAAAAAGCAAAATGTAAATAATGGGGGAAATATATATATATATATATAGTTTATTTATATTTATATATTTATATGTATTTACACATATATACACATAAATATATATGCATATTTTGTATATATGTGTAAAGAAAAATGAAAAAAGAAGGAAGGTGTTCTCCTGGGGAGGAATTGCTGCTTCTTTAAGAACCCTGGGGAATCTTCTTCTCCCACTACTCTGGTAGAGAAATGTGAGGGAACTCTTTGAGGTTGCAGATGCAAGTTGTATCTTCCAATTCAACTGTTAGCAAAAATAAAATTGATATTCTGATCCCCATCTATATTGACACCAATGTCTCCTTTAACTTCATCTGAATTATGCAGAGAAATAAAGAAATATAAATTGTGAGACTTCCCTGATTCTAACCATTATCAGACAATTAAAAACAGAAAATATAGCAAATGTATATTGCCCAGGTAATGACAGACAATAAAATTGGTACATTAAAGACAAAAACCTAAGAACTAACAGTAAAACACCCTGACTATATTAAAACTATTACTCAGACTCAATTATTAAATTCAAGATAGGTTACAGAATTTTGTAGAAATTCCTACATTTGAATGACAGAAAACCTAAAATAATAAAGTATACCTTTGCTGTATATTGGAAGATGTCTGCAATAATTTTCATGGATGGTTCTGGAGGAAAAATGTAAGTGTTTCTGACCATGAACTCCTTTAATATATCATTTTGAATTGTCCCAGTAAGTTTTTCTTTAGGTACGCCTTGCTCTTCTCCAGTTACTATAAAAGTTGCAAGAACTGGAATAACTGCTCCATTCATGGTCATGGAAACTGACATTTTTTCTAAAGGAATTCCATCAAAAAGAATTTTGGTATCTTCCACAGTGTCAATTGCAACTCCAGCCATTCCAACATCACCACGAACTCGAGGGTTGTCTGAATCATAACCACGATGTGTTGCCAAGTCAAAGGCAACTGATAATCCCTGCTGACCAGCTAAATATGTAAAGAAAAATAACATAAGATTAAAGAGTCTGGCAGCAAACTGTTTAATTTCAACATTGCTGAAAGCATTGGCCTATTTCATCATAGTATATTTATATAAAATTTTTATGTTCATATATTTGACAAGAAATTTAAGTAGATACTTCACTTCCTATGTCAGCTGTTTCCAATATGGTAAAATGGCACAAATTTAATTCCAGGTCTCACTATTAGAAAGAACAGAAAGAACACAATATCTCACTTATCTCTTATCTCATGTCTATCTGAAGATTTGTTGCCTAAGCTCAAGCACCAAATTATTTTTTTCTCAAAAGTTTTTGATTAAAGTATTTCTAAAATTCATGAAAAGATCTGGCTGTTCATATATAGTTCATATAATTTTGCATTTGTATGCTCACTTTTTTGTTATTTATCTAACATGGTCATAACAGGACAACTTGGCTATTTAAATATTCTAGAAACAGAATATTTAATATGTGATAAAACATCCCTCCACCCCCACCATGTTTTAATTACACTGGGTTTGAACCCAGCTACTTGAGCATGCTAGGCAAGGGCTCTACCATGGAGCTACAACTCCAGTTTCCAGCCAACATTTCTAAACATCTAAAATGGTCTATGCTAAATGGAGGTTCAGTCCTCCACGGGCAATACAAACTAAGAAATCCTCAGGTTCAGCATTCAAACAATATGATTTTACTATAGATCAGAAAGAAGAAATACTATATACAATCTCCAGAGTGAAATGTCAGATCATTTTTTCGCTTGTTTCTTTCTTTCTTTTGGCTCATTTAAACTATATTCCCCTCCAATTCCTATCTCAACAATATCAGTTGAAAGCTTTTCAAAGGCAATGCCTAGGTCTCTTTTCTTTATACAAATTTACCTAATTCTTTTTACACATTTTAGAAAACGTATGGGTTACTTCCAAGTATTCTGTACTATTTATCTGACTCACTTATCTTTTTGAGCACAGATGAAAAATAACCACTTTTTATAGTATAGTCTTTATAAAATTATAAAGTGAATAATGTCTTTAAGAGCTAAACCACCTTCCCCTCAAAAAAAAGGAAAGATTAGGAGTTACAGGTCCCATCATAAACATGTCTCAATTTAAAGCCTTACCCTTAATATTGTCCTTATAGAATTTGTTGCTTTCTTCCACAGTACTAAAGCCTGCATACTGGCGGATGGTCCAGGGCCTATAGGTATACATGGTGGGATATGGCCCACGTGTGAACGGCTTCACTCCTGGAAGCTCTTCAGCTAAGTCCTTAGTATCTGCCCTGGAATATAAGGGCTTTATAGAGATCCCTTCTGGGGTTCGCCATATTAGATCTTCTGGGTTTTTGCCTTTCAGCTGCTTTTTGGCCAGTGCAGCCCATTCTGGATGAAGTGGTTGTTTCTGGTGTAGAAGTCGTTGCCAAATAAGCCTAGAGCCTGATAATTGTTTCAGCTGCTTCAGGTAATTGGGTGAAAGTAAAAAAAGGTGATTTTTAATCCTCAACATGGTGAAGCATGGAAATAACCAAAGGGAACAGGAACTGACCTAGAAAAAGAAAAAACACATTCAGAAGAGAGGAAAAATGGGAGCCATTGGTGAGAAAGGAAAAAAGAAGAGGGTATATTAGTTTGGTTTCATTTTTTTCCCTTTGCTGCTTCCTGAACCTGATATTTTATAACACTGGCCCCTCTTCTCCACAATTACTGCTGCTTTAATTCCAAGCTTAGTTTATCTTATTCACTAGTCTTACCCCCTCTAATCTAACCCCAGCTCCCTCTAATCTACACACTGACACCAAGGCAAATCTAAGTCAAACTCCCCACAAAACTTTTCAAAGGCTCTGCATCATTCGAAAATCATTCATTTCATTTAAAATTCATTTATTTAACACTGACTTCTTATTTAACAAAACAAGCAGGAATCCAAAGCCTCCATGACATGGTCTCTGTTTGCCCATCAAACTCATTCCTGCCTTTGTACATTACACATTTTGTATTTTAGAAATACTGAATATCTACTGTTTGCTGCAGACACCAAAGATTTTGAATTTGCTCTTGCTCTTTCTTCTGCCTAGAAAATTGTTCTTTTTTAGATAATTCAGCTAAGGCCTTATCTCCAATATATAAGATTTCTATTCTAGGCACATAGAAGGTTCCAAACACTTAACCATTTTGTTTTATACTAATAAGGCAATAAGTAAAATGTGTTTAAAATTCAATTTCCTATATCATTTCTTAACTATCAATTTAGTGAATAATTTTAAAAAGTACTATCCAACATTTATTATGGAATGATGAAACAACAAACCCCTGGTGGAAGTATCAACTGGAAGTATTAACTATTTTTACTATATTTACATACACATATACATATACATTTATAAATATACATATATACAGATATATACCTATATATATCTATACACATGTATATGCATCTATAGATATATATAGGTATATAGAGAGAGATATCTATATGTCTATATATAAAATGAATCACCATTTCCACTGAGGAACATATGGCCTACAAATGGTAGAATTTTGTGTAGCTATTAAATATATTTGAGAAACAGACAAAAATAATAATTGGTGCTAATAAGAGCTGTTGCTTATGGTAGCTAGTACAGAAAGGGAAACATTTAGAATGATGGTCTTGATCTGAACACATATGTGTTACGTTGTAGAAATTTATAAACTGCATTGTGATGTGTGTACTCTCTGTAAGTATATAACACATAAATAAAAAGTTACAACTATGCTATGCATAGTTTTGAAATACAAGGAGACAGGTTCAAAATGGTGAAAGAATCAGGATACATCCTTGTAAATAAAATACACTTAATGAGGCAAAAAGTGTATAGAAAAAAGTCTAAACAGAAATACAACCAAAGCAATTTCCATTATTTTTTAGGCCATTATGATTTTTATTAAGTCCATGGTGTCCTTGTCCGTTGTACTTTTTTCCAAACTATCCTTACATTTACTAATTAAGAGATGAGTGGGAAAAATAATGAAGTTACAACTGAACCATTTCTGTATTGATAATATAAAAGGCAATTTGAAAACTGAGGAAATTTGAAAGCTGACCAATGACAGGAAGTATCAGACCCGTTTCACCCTGACGAAACTTTCCTCAGCCTGGAAAAATGACAGGAAAGAGTCCTTTATAACAGGGACTTCCTGAAAATCAAACTTAAAATTGGGGAATGCTGGAAACAGAGAGTATAACTACTGATGTTGGCAAAGGATTTCTGAAAATTTTCTGAAAGATGCATCAAGAGAGGCTTGGAAGATTCAAAGACGTAACATACAAAGGAAATATGCTACCGGCGATAAGACTGAGTAAAAAAGCATAAAGCCCATCCCCACATGTCAAAAAAAATCTAAAACAAATTTTAAACCAAATAACTTTCAAGTTTACAGTTTACATGTGGTCCCATATTGTCATGTCACCAAAGGCTAGCCACCTCGTGATCAACCAATTTGGACTGTAGATGCCAACACAGGGCACGCAAATTAATATAAGTGCAAATGGTCTGTAGATAAAGCCAAAAAAGAAGCAAACAAACAAAAAAACCAGTATGCTGGGAGAAAATCATCAACTGCTTTAAACTTCACATGCATACATTATCCAGGGCTTCAAGCTTCTGAAAGACCACTGTCTTTCTAGGCAAAACCGAGAACAAGTTAGCAGCTGACACCTTTAGTTCCGTCTGCACCCGTGTTTCCTAGTCCATCTCTCGCTCCTACCCGTCCACTTTCCGTCCCACCGCCTCCTGCACAGCAGGGCCGAAGGTGGAAGAGAGGGGGCTCCGCAATCGTGCAAGAAACGACTATGCCCACGGGTGCTTGGGTGGACAGAGGTGCTAAGCGCACCTTCTTTACCGGGGAACCGGAGAAGCCTAAGGACCTAGCCGAAGGCGGGAAGTCGGTCAAGGTGAAGCGAGAGGAGAATGGGCTCCTGACATAGTGGGGAGGCAAAGACGGAAGGACAGGTAAAAACAAGGAAAGGAAGAGAAGAGAAATGAGTCAGAAAACTACGGAGAGATCTGACAGCCTGACGAGCCCCGAGGCGCAGAGTCGTACTCACTGGCAGGCCAGCTCGCACCTAGCTGTGGGAGAGCGCGGCTGGACCTGGAACCCAGCAAGACGCTCCTCCGACGCCTACATAGCCGGATCCGCAACTGAGCAAGCGCAAACCCTAGGCAGCCCAATCAGGGGGCGCAGGCCGACACCGCCCTCCTCCCAGCCAATCAAATAGCACTCTTGAGGGCGCGCGGTTATGGCGTAGCCTCAGCGCCATAAGCCCGCCTCCTGCTACCAGCGTTTCCGGCTTTCTTCCCGCCTACTGCCGCTCTCCCGGATTTTGATTGTTTGGGCGCGAATTGTTGCGATCGCGACCTCCTAAAGAGAGCGGCGGAGAATCATTGACCCGTAAGTCTTGAAAGCGCTTCACCTGCCGGGTGGGTCCAGGTTAGGGGATTTGGTTTTGCAGCCAGCGCGTTTGTGACAAACTCCGTGGTTTGTATTTACAACTAAAAGCCTCGCTGAATGTTTCCCAACACGCCCGTTTCTTTCGAGTTGTCCCCGGTTTTTGCTGGTGTTTCTTCCTTCTGACTGAAATTGGAAAAAGTAATTCAAACCGGTAATTTCTCTGGATACTGTGTCTTCTCGCACTTGCCAGTGACAGAGAGGCACTCGAGTCTTCCTGCAGCGCACTGCACATAATAATTGTTTTTATATCGCTCTCTTCCTGCCCGCTTTGAGTTACGGCATTTCGTTTTTCTAGAAACAGCAACCATCACAACAGTGATCGAAATGGTGGCTTTTTGTGTTTTTATTGATTTCTTACTGTGTCCCAAGAGCTGTTCTGGGTACCTTCTATGTTCGGTTTTAAGTCATCTAGCTTGGCAAACGCCTTTGGTGTTGGGACGGTTATTAGCCCGTTTTCCCGCTGGGGAGATCCAGTGAATTTCCCTGTGCGAAGCCTAACTAGAGAGGTGACAGGGCCAGCGTTTGAAGCCCGGGCGGTTTGTCCCCATCCTCGGCTTGCTCTGAACCACCGTGCCAGGGCTCTCCGCCTGGAGCAGTTTTGCCCCAAGGTACATGTGACAGTGTCCGGAAGCGACCTTGGTTGTCATTCCTTGGGAGTGGGAGGATTCCAGCACCTGGTGAGTAGGGTCCAGGAATGGACCTCAGCACCAGGTCAGCCTCTCCCAGCAAAGCACGATTGTCCCATCCAAGATGTTAACAGGGCTGAGGTCGAGAAACTTCTGCACTATGGTCTATTAGCTGCAAGTAGGTTTCTTGAAATCAGTACTTCCCAAAATTGGGGCAAAGGACCAATCTTGGTTTTTTATTTTGTCTTTGTTTTTCTGATCAGTCACAACCGATGCCTTTGTAAAATACAATGTAAAAGTTATTAGTCAAGTCACAGACTGTACACTATCAACAGTGTATGTAATGTAAACTGTGAATTTGGGTGATGTGTTTCAGTATAGGTACATCAATTGCAGCAGTTATTCCACTTAGGTTTGGGATGTTGATTGTCCAGGAGATTGGAGTGGGTGGCGATGGACAGTGAGCCTATGGGAACTCTTATACTTTCCACTCACATTTACTAGAAACCCAAAGCTGATCTGAAAAAGTCTATTTTAATTATTACTAGAAAACGACATTGACAAAATAAGACCATAAAATTATTTTGTCAAAATACATAAAATTATTTTGTCAAATTGCCATAGAATCTTCTTTATTCTCAATTTCTATACTTTAGAGGATTGTATCAATTTGTGAATCAGATTCAGAATAGCACTGAATTGTTATTGAATAAAGACTATTAAAAGAAAATGATTAATAGCATTTAACTGTCAAATATGAGCTCACAGACTTTTTAGAGAAAAATGTAGTAGAGTGGTTAGGAAGACTGTGGGAAGAAGATGGCTCAAAACCTGAGAGGGTGGACAGAGCTAGGGAAGAGAACAGCTTAGAAAGAGAATACAGTGTATGCACTGGAGGAAAAATTGCTCAGTGTGTTCAAGAAATCCAATCCTGCTAGAAAGGAGAATTCAACTAAGGAGTAGTATGAGAGAAGTACAGAAAGCTAAGCTGGGCTAGACTGTTGAGGGCTACAAATATCAAGGTGAAGAGTTTGGATGTTATAGGAAAGGTATTGAAATAGATATTTTAATCACTTACTTTGTCCCAAAATTTGGGATTGGGAAGAACTTAGCTGAGCTAGCTCGTGTTTTTTCCATGCAGTGCCAGCTGTAGCACACTGGCTTAGGTACATGTCCCAGACTGGCAAGTAGGTGCCTATATTGTCTGGGAACTTAGATAGGGCTTTTACTTGGGGTTGTAGTTCCTCTCTTTGTTGGCCTTTCCATATGGTGGTGGCTGGGTTCCAAGAGGAAGTACTTCCAAGCAAAAGAAGTAGAAGCTGCCAGTCTTTCATATTAAGGCCAGTAAACTGGAACAGAGTCACTTCTACCACCTTCTACACTCAGACCTCTGCAGAATCTGCGAAGATGTAAGAAAAGGTGACATAGACTCTACCTCTCATTAACTACTGCTGAGAAGGAATTTATACTATTTTTAATCTAAAATTTCAGCCCTTGCTTGCACTCTCACCTGGACACTGTTTTTTGGTGAATACCATGAACTGCTTTACACGGCAGCTCTTCTAGAAGTCCACATATGAAGCATTCTCATATGGATGGGTTTTGAAGTAGCAAAAGGCTTTATTGAGGGAATTAGGTATTTTAGGAATGGAACACAGAATAGAATAGAGACTGCATGAAGAGTTACCAGACACTGAATAATGATAAATCCATTACTTAAAATAAGAAAGTTCTATTCTTTGAACTGATCTTATCTGTGACCACTTTACGTTTCTGTTTTCTGGAGTTTAAAACATGGAGATAATGTTATTGTATGGAGAGTATAAAGAGAGATCCAAAAACATCTTAAATGATTTTTAAAGTCATAAAATGGAAGCTATTTCAAGAAATAAAATTATACTTAATATTCTTATACTGATAAGAGCCAGAGTTTTTAAAAATCGTTTAAGTGTTTTAAAAACATATAATACTTTCCCCAAACTTTTAAGATTTTTTTAAGAGAAAGGAAAATTTGGAAGAATTATAGCCTTTTTCACAACACATTGCACAAGGCATTATCATTTTTCTGTGTTCTTTTCATCCTCATAAATTGTTTTATACATCATTACAATTGTACTTTTTAGATCAAGATGCCTGGTAAAGCAAATGCTTCCAAGAAAAAGTCTCAACAGTTAAAAAGAAACTCAAAAACAAAAGTTGGTGAGGAAGTGGAGTTATCAGAGAAAAAGGTAATGAGAATTTCAAGCCTATCATTTAGAATTCTTTGATTAGAAATGCTGGGTATTCTAAAAAAGCAGTATGTAAAGACTAAAGGTCAGTTTTGCTATAAATTATAGTAATTTTTATCATAATCTGTGACTTTTATCCCAGATTTATAACATGATTTAAAAGTTTTCAGATAAAAAATTGTTTACTTCAGTTTCTAAAAATAAGTATTAGCCTTAGAATTCTTTGAGGTGGAGAGGATCTCTGGGGTATTGCTAAGGTGTTGAAATAGAAAGGTTAGGAGAGACATGTACAGATTCTTGTCACATTCATATGTTAAAAGACAGGAGATTCTGTCAGCTGATGGAAGAGATTTATATTAACAGAGAAAACAGTTTGGGAAGAATTAACTTCCTCCTTAATTTTCCCTTCCCTTTATAAAAGAATAAGTTGATCAAAACCTTTTTCTAGGCTTCATTCTGTTCATTAGGCAGTGCCTATATTTGTCTCACAGGTAAAATCTGTAGCACTATTTCATAGCAAAGTGAGTAGTGATTTATTTAAAACACTTTTGACACTGAATAAAAATCTGTTGTTACCACCATTATCCAGGAATTGCCTTAATAGATTCTCTGCCTGTAATAAGTGTGCACCATTCTGCAGAAATGGCAATGCACTTTTTTTTCTATCAGAAGGTACATGGATACTCTTTGAAATACATGAAAAAAAAATCTATTGCAAAAGTGATTTTTTTAATCTGATGTTTAATTCTATATGGATATGTTTTTCCCTCTAGATTAAAACAAAGCAAAAAGAAATAAAATTCACTCAAAGCATTTGTCTTCTGAAGGTATTTCAAATCTATATCTGTTTAATGTATGTCTTTCTCAAGTTATTTATATTTATGAAAAAAATTTAACATATTGTTTATAAATTTGCCAAATAAAAATGTAGAAATAAACAGCCACATTCACATTTTTGTAAAAAATGGTTTCTGTTTCAGTCAACTGAAATTTTACTTAACACACCTCTAACAAAATACTATGGATACTTAAATGCCACTAAGTTATAGAAAATATCAAGATGTCCCACAATCTGAATTATTAGTGAACTATGATATAAAAAAAGAACTGGCTTATTTTTCTTCCAGACAAATATGCTTTCTGTTCTGATATTAATGTGTAGATTAGCTTGGAATCATTATTAATTAAATGGTAATTTAATATTAGTAAATTATTTTAGAATAGTCATTTCTTTTAGTCAGTGTTTTGTCATGAAAGGATTCCCTACCTCTCATCTGAGACCAGGTTCTGAGGACACAGTACTTTTTCCTTTAGTAATGCTCTTCATAACTGTAAAATTACAGTTTAATATCCTTTCTCAGTAATCTTTAAGGGATCCAATTCTAAACCTCCTTTGTTTTATCCCTTATAAGTAAAACAGTACCAACAGCATAAGCAATACTGAATGTCTGCCTGTGTTCCACTTGCCATCCAGTATATAGTAGAAATAGTGTCCTAGTCTTCTCACGGAAGCTGTTGTGGAATTCAAGTCATTTCTGAGAACCCAACTTTAATAAATATAGCTTGATTGATTTAAAATAATTTGGATTTGTATTACAGTACCATTTAATAGTATTTCAGTTAGCATAAAAATGGGCAACAAGTTCGTCTTCAACATCTGGCCTGTTATAGAAGTGCAGTAAAAAGTGAGTTAAATGGTTTATGCAGCTTTATGATAGTTTATTCTCAGAGGGCCATTCACTTTTTAAGTAAAAGCATGTAAGTTTCTGGTTTAATCGGTCTCTTCTATCACTAACAACAGGACAAATGGAACATATTAATCTAAAACAGATAAAGATAGCATCCAACAAGAGAAAAACCTGGCAACCCCTTTCAAAGAATATCAGAGCCCATTTACAAACTATGATGGAACCAGTAATAATGTGAGTGTAAATATTTCCCCTTTCATTCTTTTGGTTCCCACTTACGTGTTGCCCATAGACATTTTTCTAAATATTAGTATATATTTTAAAGTCATAAGTATTTCCTATTTCAGAAAAAGATATATTTAATGTCTTGTGGTGGCAATAGCCTTCAGCAAAAAAACTCTTTATTAGTTTTAGGAACTTGGGATTCCATTAGATAAAAATCAGTGGAATTGATTGTGTTGCCTAGTCTCCTATCTATAAAAATTTTAACTTGTTCTGTCAATAAGTATTCTTCAGGAAGAAGCTGAGTTCAGCTTAATGCTTTATGAAAGGTACCATGTTATAAGAGACACTGAACTGCATCAGGACAGCCAGGCATTTAAATTATTACAATAAAGTATGACTTAAAAAAAAGTTTCATTTAAAATATATTTGACATAGAAGAGAAAGTGATTGATTCTGCCTACCTAGTAAGGAGGAACACTTGAAGGAATTCAGCAGGGAAAAAACACATTGTATTTATAATTTGTGTTTCAAATTTATCTTTACTCAATCTCTTTTTTCCCTAGAACAATTTTAAGCAACAGCAGTAAAGAAAAAGAACAAATTCAATACCATCTCAACTCATTGAAGAAAAGGTAATGTAATTATGCAACTGAAAATTATTTAATTATAATTTTTAAGAAATCTTACTCCTATATTGCCAAAAACTAGATGTTTATAGGATATAAGTTTTTTTTTAAGTAAGTTAACAGTTAGGAAATAATATATTTTGTCTTCCCTAAACTGTTGCATATGTTACCAAAGTTTCAGAAAATTTATTAAAAAAAAAAAAAAATCAGAAAATTACAAAACCCTTACTGTTACATTTCACTGTTTTGTGTTTTTGAAAAGTACCCTTTAAACATTAACTCCTTCAAGGTTCATTTTTAGATATTGGATGTTAATCATTAACAACTTTGTCTGCATAATGTCTGTCCTATCACTATTACTTATCCTTACAGGTTCCTTCACTTTATATTGTGTTTCATTATTTATGTAAGCACAGGTGTAATGTGCCAAGGTATTATTTCTCTTCATCTTAGCAAGTCATTAATGGAGGTTCCTTTTCAAGTGTTCTTAAAGCCCCACCACGGCCCATGATTTTCAGTGATTACTTTTCTGTAATACTGACATGACTTTTTCTTTTCATAAAAGAATGTTTTATATCTCAGATTCATGTTTGCCAAGAAATGTTTGTGGCCTAATATTTTATTTGCAGGAAGTCCTTTGAGTACAAATTCTACCTGCTTTTTCTTTTAAGTATAATCCTTAACCCAGGGTAGCAAAATAGAAAGAGTGTGATGGAATAGGATATGGTAGATGAGGGTGGAAGTTTGTTGAGAGCAGCGGACAGATTAAAATAGTACTAGAAACAGGCTTATAAAATGCTTAGAGGTGTGACAGCCTGATATTAAAGAACACAAAGACCATAAATAAGCTAATACAAATATAATAAAAATGTAGTCGAATAGACTTTTTCTTAATATAGGCCAAATAGTAGTATTTAGTTTATGAATGAGCATAGTGTAGTACAGAGTAGTTGCTGTCATAGTGATCACCCTGGGTTTTTAGAAAACACTAAGTTATATTCAGCAAGTAGACATATGTCTCTTCATCATGTAGCAACTGAGGAGATACATGAAGACTTGCCTATTTTCTCATTTTGGCTTTCACAGCTCATTTTCTTTATATTATTCTACCTATTCAAGAGTGCAGCATTAGGATTCATGTGATCCTAATTGGAACACTAAATAAATTTTTTTGTAGCAGTATTTCTTGAAGTATTTGAAACTCTGAATAAAAGGGATCAGTGATGAAGTAAGTGTGGCATATTCATTGCATATGAGAAGCACTATAAAGTCTATTTCATATCTCAGGCACTAGAAAGCATCTCCCAAATTGATGTTTACCACAAGAACTCATTTTCATATGTTAGTCTCACCTCTGCTTTACTCTGCATATGGGCTTCATTCTTTTAAGTTTGTTCTCATAGATAAAGTCTATAGACATAGGCAGCTCCCTGTATGTACGTATCTTTTCAGCCTTGTGAAGAAAGAGGAAAAAGAAAACTTGTCCTTTTATCTTCAGTTAGAAAATTTTGGAAGATGGTCTCTTAGCTTAGGTAATGTACTGACCCTTGAACTGATTATGTGGCAAGAGTTCCCGTGGGTATGATTGATATAAACTGAGCTGTATGTCTACCCTTATTATTAGACAGAAAAGCCACTCTAGTTTCTAGAGAAAACTTCTTATAGAAACAGTGTTATAAATGGTGGTTAATGGTTGTTAATATACTAGTATATATTCAAAATCTACTTTAATAAGAGTTTATAAGACTCTTAGAAACCAAATCACTAGAATAGTTAATTGACCCTTTCACATAATTAATTTAATAAATTTCGGAGGAAACCTATGAGTAGAATCTTTATGCTAATTAGAACGCTAAACCTTAGTCCTCTTAAAATTTCTACAGATAAGTTGCTTTTGCTTGTTGTGATAGACTAATGATGATGTTCTGGACAATGGGAGTTTGTCTTAATAGGTTAATGAGAATTACAATTTGTAATGTTTATGATGCCAACTTTTTTTTTTCCTTACAAAAACTAAGATTTTGAACATGGTCTCAGAAAGATAAATCTTGTTCAGATTCCTTCAAATCTTAAGGACAATTTGAGTATCCGTAATCTAAAATGTTTGGGAGCAGAAGTATTTGGGATATTGGATTTTATTTAGACTTGGGGATATTTATATTTATACAATGAGGAATCTTCTAAATGGGACCCAAGTCTGAATACAAAATTCATTTGCTTGTCATATGTACTTATCTATAGAGCCTGGTTTAATTTCATATGACATTTTAAGTACTTTTGTGCATGAATCAAAAGTTTAATGACGTGGAATTTTCCTTGTGGTTTCATGTCGGCACCCAAAAGTTTCAGATTTTGGAGAATTTTAGATTTCAGATTTTTAGATTAAGAGTAGAACTTTTTAGAATTCACAGGTAGAAGCAACCACATTTAGTTTCTCCTCCTTGATTTGTTCCTCATAGAATTCATGAACCAAATCTGAGAAAGCTGTTTCACTCTACTGGAAGTGAGATAGAAACAGATCAGTTTCTGCTAGTGATCTAATCAACCATTATTGGAGGAGGATTTTTTTATTTAATGTCACATACCATTCATATTGACAGTACTTTAGAGCAAAAGACTTTAATCTTAGTGTCATTTGCCTTAAACTCTGTGGAGCTTCATTCTCTGTAAGCATTTAGATTAACTAATGTGGAAGTTCCCCTTTATTGGTTGCATTCTTTAAGACTGAGACTTGGGATTCAGCATCATAGTTAAGATTCTAAACTAGTGTTCTATCTTACCTAACAGTGCACAATCAGTGGTAAATTTATGTAGAATAGAAAATGTTCTTTTAGTAAACAGCCGCATCTCCCATAGATTGAGATGAAGCTAATGAATTAAAAAGTTAAGTGATAGTTTGTCAGTTCTGTTTTGGGGAGGACCTCCTACTATAGTTAGCCACTGTTAATGAAAGAATGTTGTAGCCCTTACGAATATGAGGGCAGGAACAAAATGAAAACTATTCTGAAACAAAAGTAATATTAATCGTACTCAAAAATAAGGTAATCATGTTTTATTCTGTTCTTAAGATTGCTACAACAGTGTGAAACTCTGAAAGTCCCTCCCAGAAAGCTGAACAGTTTAGCTAATGTGTCAAATCTACTGAACATGGAACGAGCACAGGCCAGAGCTAATGAAGAAGGTTTGACATTATTGCAGGTATGAAATTTGAACAAGGAATTCATAATTAGAGAGAGGAGAGGAAAAGAGTCCAGTCATCATGATATTCTTCCAGTAATAAATAATAGATCTTAGACCAGTTTTCTCACTATTTTTTTTTTTTTAATAAAAGCAAAACTTTGCCTGAGCTTTGAGCTTCCAAAGTTGGGCTGTTTTAATACATTTGTGGTAAAGTAGTAAAGACGTAGCCTTGTTTTTTTTATTAGACTATCTTAACTGAACTGTCCTAATATTTTTAATTATCAAGTCTTAGAAACTCATCATTGAATGCTATACAGTTCCAAAATGTATTAGTTCCATTCTGTATATGACAAGATTTTTCTTGCGATTGTTAAACACTGTATAACTAATGGCATTGTGGACTTTATGTCTAAACACTTCATAGTTATATCTCTTAGTCCTTACAATGAGTTGGTTAAAGAGTCTAACATTAGTTATCCTTCCGCATTTTCCAAATCTGGAAAAAAGTACATGCTTGTAACTGAGCCTTAAACAAACTGTTTAAAAGTTGAGATGCTAATCCTCATTATTTTGATTTCAGAACATGATTCTTTTTTATCTTTTTTTTTTTTTTTTTTTTTTGGTGATACTGGAATTATTCAGGGCTTCAAGCTTGCTATGTAGGTACTCTGTCTCCTGAGCCATGCCTCTAGCCCTTTCTGCTCTGGTGAATTTTGAGATAGGGTGTAGCTTTTCACCTAGACCAGCCTGGACAGCAGTGCTCCTATCTTAACTTCCCACAGGGTCTGGAGTGACAGGTTCACACTACGACACCAAGCTTTTTTCCATTGAGATGGGGGTCTTACAAACTTTTTGCCCAGGCTGGACTGGAACACAGTCCTCCCTATCTCAGCTTCCCAAGTAGCTAGGATTATACCCAGTCAGAGCATAATTTTTAATCATTATGCTATATTGCATCCTAATAGAAAATACATTAGTGTTACAATTAACTTTAAGTTTTTAGTTAATATCTGAACAGCTATGAAAATTAATTATCAATTAATTACAAAATGTAAAAGAAATTAAACCACACATCTCTTAGACATTTTAAAGTAGTTTGTAGATGTGTGCTGAAGTCTTTGTTAGCAATTCAGTAAGTGCAGGCTTGTTGTAATTTATGCAAAGAATATATCCCCAAGAATTTCTAGAATTTGAACTCACAAATACTCATTCCAGTTTTTTTCACAGTACTAAGAATAAAGTTGAAGTTATAGTTGACACACATTGTAAATTAGTAAGTTGATCTTTTGGTGGTTGCCCTACTCTGTTCGTAGTGTGATACTGTAATTATCATTCCAATATTGCTACTTTTCAGAGCATCTTTTCAGTACGGGCACTACTCCACAACTTGATAAATGCTTAGCTGGCATCAATACAGGTCATTTAAAAACACATTAGAATTTAATATTGGTGAATGGTGTTTTAACATTTACTATTCAATAAATCAGTTAAAAGTGTCAGTAGCACTAAAGGATAGTGTGATGTTTGTAGTACTGGGAGGTGTTTCTGGTTTAGAGCTAAAGTTGTACAGTGTTACGGAAGCATAAATACAGTCTTGGTTTGCTTGGTAATCCCGCCAGTGGTAATCACTCAGTGGGTACATGAAATAGGTTGTGAACTGTCCATTAGTCCTCTCTTAGTCTTACTTAGAAACATTGCTAGCCAGGGGGCTCATGCCTGTAATCCTTGCTACTCAGGAGGCAGAGATCAGAAGGAACATAGTTCGAGGCCAACCTGGACAAGAAGAATTGAGAAAAAGCAAAGCATACTATTTTGGTGAAGAATATACAGTAGTAATACCCCAAGAAACCCAAAACAATGGAATAAAATAAGTTTTAAAAATTATACTGCAAAAAAAACTTCACCACACTGGAAATTGAACCCAGGGCCTCACATGTTAGACAAGCAGTTTGCCACTGAGCTACATCCAACCCTTTTTATTATGTTTTGAGACAGGAACTTGCTAAGGCTGGTCTCAAACTTGAGATGCTCTGGCCTCAGCCTCCTACGTGTTGGGATTGCAGGTGTGCACAACCAAGCCTTTGCACTGTAATAAAAAAATTTTATTCCTTGCTTTATGTTACTCTACTTCATTCAGTGCTGTGTACATTCCATTTTGGAATGGGTTGAATTGTGGTCTCTAAAAACATACTAAGTCCTGATCTCTTGCAAGCTAAGTGTGACCTTACCTAGAAAATGGTAGATCATATAAAAGATTTCAAAATGAGATCATCCTGGGTTTTCATGGGTAGTTCCTATATCTAATGACAAATATTCTTGTAAGAGGCAAAAGGATATATAGACACAAAGAGAATGTCATGTGAAGTAGGAACTGGAGTGATGAAGCTACATGGAATGATGACAGCTATCAAAGAACTGGAAGAGAAAAGGCAGTCTTCCCCACAGTCTTTAAAGAGTCTTTAGACAGACATAGTAAGATTGTGATTCAAGTTCAGCCTGGGTGAAATAGCTAGTGAGACCCTATCTCAAAATCAAGTCAGGCATGGTGACCCATGCCTGAAATCCAGGTACATAATAGGCGAAGGTAGGATGATTGCAGTCCAAGGCTGGCCCCAGGCAAAAGGCGAGATTGTACCTGAAAATTTTAAAGCAAAAAGGACTGGGAGCATGGCTGAAGTGTTCGAGCACTTGCATAGAAACTGCAAGTCCCTGAGTTCAAACCCCAGGAGTACCTACCGAAAAAAGGGATGGATGGGGGGAATTCATTGCTTTTTAAAAATATGATAATGAAGGGGCTGGCAGAGTGGCTCAAGTGATAGAGTGCCTGCCTAGAAAGCATGAGGCCCTGAGTTCAAATCCCAGTACTACCAAAAAAATGTGATAATGATATTACGGTCTTATGTATAAGTCTTTAGAGCTACATGCTAAAATATTCATGCTGAAATGGTCAGATATATAGGACTTACTTCAAAGTAGAGCAAGAAGAGGAGAAACAGAGTAAGAGGTGAAATATGATAAGAATTGATAAGTGAAAATAGGTGATGGTATACGAAGGTTCGTAGTAACAGTCTTTCAGTTGCATGTGTTTGAAATAGCCTATGATAACAATTTTTTAAAATCTTTCTTTATGGAATTTATATTCTACTGAGTGGAGCTCATAGTCCCAAAGGCTAAGGCATTGGGGTTAGCACACTGTTCTGTAAAACACCAGGCAATAAATATTTTCCCCTTTCCTCATATGTTGTCTGTGTTGTGTGCTCTTGTTGTGCTGTTAACCATCCTTTAAGAATGTAAGTCATTCTTAGTTCTTGAACTAAGAACGAAGTAGCTCATGGGCAGCTGCTGACCCCTGCAGGTATCCTTTGTTGTTTGTTTTTTGGATTGTTTGCTTGTTTTTTAATGAACATTTAGAAACCATATATTTTTCTTTTTTTTTTGGTGGTGCTATGGTTTGAACTCAGGACCTCATGCTTGCTAGGCAGGCATTCTACCACTTGCCACCACTCCACCAGCCCAGTCTTGTGGTATTTTTGAGATAGGGTCTCACAAACTTTACCTGAGATGGCTTTGAATTGAGATACTTCTGATCTCTGCCTCCTTGTGGGTAAGACTACAGGCGCGGCCACCAGCACCCAGCTAGAAATCTTATATTTCTTGAGGAAAATTACCATAGTTGCCAGTATTTGGAGAATGACATACATATAGCACAGACCAGATTGCTGAGCAGCATTAAGCATTATTCTGTTTATTTTCTCTGCGATGTATTCACTTGTTCTCTAATCCCCAGAGGCTTTGCTGTCATTAAGTAAGACTAGATTTGAAAACAAACAGCTCTTTAGAAACCTGAAAGCTTACCGGTTCCATACTCGGCCTACAACCAGCACATCCCTAATGTTTCTAAACTCATTTCATTCGTTTCTCATTTTCTTTTTTTTTCCCCTAGAAATTATGTGTTCCGTTAATATGGGAAGCTGTCATTCATTGTTTCTATTACTATTCCTGCCCCAGTGCCCAGCAGTGCTTTCTTTTGGCAAGTTAAAGCAATGTTTTAGCTAAAATGAACACGTTAGAGATTTGCTGCTGCTTGAAGTTAGATGCTACATAGGCAGCGCTGCGTGTTTACTGTCCTCAGTCCTTAGGCTCTGCAAAACTCACAGTTGGGTCTTCCAGGATCTCTGATACTAGTAGCTTTGGTAAGTTTTTGGGAACATTCACAGAAATAGAATATATCAATTTATTACAATAAAATTAAAAAATTTTATAATGCATTATTATATTGGCAAACCAAGTTTTTAGGAAATCTGTTTTTTGAAAGAAAAACAAAAATAAATTCAGCATTTTCTTCCACAAGTGTTTTAGTTTATGAGGTGTTATTTATACATAAGATGTTAGGGTTTAGTAATATATTTAAAATACTGAATTTTTTCTTTCTGACTCAGGAAGAGATAGATAAAATAATAGAAAATGCAGAGTTGGTGACTGGAAATATTCAGAGCCTAAAGAATAAAATTCAAATTCTGGCACATGAGGTAGAAGAGGAGGAAGAGAAGATGAAACAGGTAATTATTATAAAATATTTAAATCTTTCTTTTTGGTGGTGATACTGTGGTTTGAACTCAGGGCCTTGCACTTGCTAGGCAGGTGCTCTACCACTTAAGCCATGCCCCCAACCCTTTTCTTAATAGAGTTTCAGGTTTATACCTAAGCCAGCCCAAACTGTTGATCCTCCTAGTTACACTTCCCACGTAGCTGGGGTGACAGGTGTGCAGCACCACACCCAAATTTTGGGTAGTTTTTGTGTGTGTGTGTGTGTGTGCATTTTGTTTGTTTGTTTTGGTTGAGATGGGATTTTACAAACTTTTTGCCTGGCCTGAAATGCAGTCCTCCAGATCCACCTCCCAAGTAGGTAGGATTATAGATATGAGCAGTTCCCGGCCTTTATAAAATTTTTAATGCTTAAATTTTACTAAGACAACTTATGAGTATAGTAAGTTGAGCAAAATCAGCCTTTTGAAATCATCTCTAGCTTTTTGTTTCTACTTTAGGTGCTTCAAATAGATAGTAATGGGGTCCTTTGTCTTCCAAAACTTTCTCAGAAAAGTCTCAAAGCCCCCATGCTTCAGGTGAGTATATAAAATCATGTCCTGTTTCTTTCATAAAACAAATCTAATCGTTTCCCATTTGACTGTTTGGAGAACATCTTTCCTTATTGGTTCATGTAGTGATCTCATTCTGGTTAAAAGCTCCATAACATTCCAGTGCATGGATGTACGATAATTATAAATCACGATGGAAATAATTTTCATATTAAAGATAATCCTGGATACACCCTTATCCATATCTACATATTTGTGTAGCTATAATTGCAGGACAGTTTCTGGAAGTAAGTTCTGACAGTTGTTTTTGTTAATGCTTCTAACAGTGACATATAATTCTTTATAAAATAGCCTTGTCATATTTGTAATGGACTCTACACGGGTAATGTATCTTCAGAAGGCCCCAGTAGATACTGTAGTATAAATATTTATTTTCCTACCTATAATCCACCAGTGGTGAGAGGAGCAGAAATGGGGAGGAAAAGGTAAATTTGAAAGATAAATGTCAGTGAGGTGATGATAGTGAAGTTAAAATGGTAAGTTCTTGAGATTATTACAGGATACTGTCTAAATGACAGATATTTGACATTTTTCATAATAAAATTCTTAAAAAATAATTATGCTTTCCTATTCACAGGAAGAAATTTTGACACTAATTCCAAACCAGAATGCTCTTCTAAAGGATTTGGATGTTCTTCACAATTCATCCCAGATGGAGAACATGTCAAGGTTCATTGAAGAAGCCTATAAGAAACTAGATGCCTTGTGAAGAGTTTATTCTGTTTTAAATTGTTCCATATTAATTTCATGTATCTTAATTTGTAAATCTATTAACCTTTGATATTATAAAACTGAAACTTCTGCAGGATGTATTATCCTGTAATGAGCACTTTTAAATGAGCCTATGTAGGTGTATCATTAGCATCTAATGTAGTCCTGAAAACTCTGCTTATAGCAGTTGCTAAATTTATCTTGCCATATTTGCCTAAAACTATGAAGTCAGGAGAGCCATGATCTAATAGATTATAATGGCTGAATGGATGGAGCTTATATAATGGATAGCCCAGAGAACTGTGATGCTGTGGCTTTGTATATGTGAAGTGTTTATGTATAGTACTTAATGAATAAAACATGGTGTTCTCTGTCACTCATTCTTTAGCTTATAGCTTGCATTTTCTGTCTGGTCACCTGAAGCTTCAAATGTCTTCCTTACTCCCTACTCTTTTTATAGATTAGTTAAGATTTCTGGGTGTCATTAACTTTGAAGGTAGCATAAATATTTTATTTCTTTGGCTGGTTAGTGGTTAGATGTCAAATATTTTTACTGTCATCAAAGCACGCTCTTATTAAGAATGCACTTGTATTCCCTTAAAATAAAAACCAACCAAAAACTTGTTTCAGGAAAACTCACCGTATGAGAAATGGAACAATGGTAGAAGGTACTGAGAGACCAGAAAAAGGTGGTAGTTAAATCCAGTGTTGCAAAAAATGGAATTTATCAGAAACTCATGGGCAGAGGTGTATGATACACCTGCCTAGTAATTAATAGGCCTGAATTCAAATACCAGTACAGCTAAAAAAAAGAAATAAGTCTTGTGTGAAATGAAAAGTACGAACTGAAATTTCAGAATTGTATAGTACCCCAGGTGATCACCCAGTGATCAGCAGAGGAAAGGCATACTTTGTATCAACTATGAAAGATGAAATTTATGTATTAAATTCCCAACTGAAAGGTTAGAGAACAAATAAGGTATCAAAGGGAATCACAAGAAAAGAGATAACTTAAAAATGCTAAAAGAAAAATATGACAGGCTTAGTGGGCTCCAGGGAACCCATGTCCCCCAGGCTCTTTGTGCCTGTTCCTCTTTAGCCTGTTTGTTTGCAGCCCATACACATGGCCACCCAGAATCTACCAGGATCCAGGATCAATGTTAGAGCCTACATCCTGCACTACCCTGGATGGATGCAAGAAGATCCCAGTATATTTCTTGGCTAGCAAATTCAGAGTCCCCAGGACAGATCACAGACTGCCAAAATCGGGAGTAGAGAGGCTAGAAGGATGAAACCTGAGCCCAGCACCTAGGAGAGGTGCTCCCTTACTCTGCTGCAACCAAGCCCTAATGACAGACATTCCCAGAAAAGGAGTGTTCAGTGGCTCAAGGAAGAGTGGGAGCTTGGGGTAGGGACTGTACTGAAATGACAAAAAGATGAAAAGTTAGCCTCTCAACTTATCAGGACAAGGAAATGAGATAAGTGAGATACCATTTCTCCCCTACCAAACTTGAAGTGATTATCCCCAAGCTCCTGAAATGAAAAACCTTTGGGACGGCTGAGGGGGGCAGAGGCTCACTCTCCAGCAGCAGTTAATTCTGGTTGGTGACCCAGCAATTGGGCCAGTGTCATCTGTCATTCAGTTTGCCTACTTGCAGAAGCCAGCAGAAAGAACGAGATAAGAACATAGTTTACATGACAGGATTCTTGTCTCTGTGGGACACCTTCAGTATCCAGTAGTCCCTGGTAGAGGGAACACGTGGAAGTCATTTTAAATAATGACAGAGGTTCCTCACACTGCCACCAGGACTCTATAATGGACCACAAACAGGGTTAGTGGGGTAGGCTGGAGTGCAAAAAAAATAGACATTGCAGATCAGCCTCCCAGGCAACACCAGTGTTGTGTGGACTGTTGATGTTTCTGTGCTTGTGTGTGTTTGAGGACACAGACACGAAGTGTTTCAGAGAGGAGACAGGCCAGGAGAAAGACCAGCAGAAGGGCCACACTAGTCAGGTGTGTCTGAAATGGGGAGGAGTTAGGGCTAAGTTAGTCCCGATACCTGCAGATGGCTCTTGGCCCCTGGCAGCCCTCGTCCCTCAGGGAGGGGAAGCTTGGTGGGTAGGGGATCCTTGTCTTTTGTCCCAGCAGGACCTGACTTAAGCTACTTATTGGCCAGCAGGGATCTTGGCACCTTCATTTCCCACTCAGAGCATGGGGGAGCCATAGTCCCTCAAAGGCTCCTGTGAGGATGGAACTGAGCCACCCTCAAGCCAATGGCCCACACTGATGATAGGTGGTGGATAATTGTCCCCTTACCTCCTGGCTGGTTGCACCAGGTGGTAATCACAGATATTCAGTCAGTGCACATTTGGCCATATGCCTCTTAGCCTCTAATGTCACTGCTAAGCCCCACCCCATTTGTTCCCCAGGGAAGGAAAGCTAAGAGGAGGAGGTACCTAAGAGGAGGAAGTACCTATATGCCTTTGGCTCAGAGAGACCTGGCTTAAACTCCAGTGCTCACTACTGATTGTTGGCCAGGCTTTTACAACACACAGAGGATATGAACTCCATGGGCTGGGACCATGGGGCTCAGGCTCACTGGGAAGGCTACAGTGCTGGCCACGTGCAGAGGCCATGAATAGCTGAATGAATGAATGTGAGAATGAGTGATTAAAGGAATGAACCAAATCCAACAGGGCACTGGTATGGGGATGGGCCAGCCCTGGACCCTGGGCTCTCCTTTTATCAGGACCAGCTTATTTGCAGGTGGGATGAACTTTTCTTTGGGCTTCAGATCATGGAACTGCAGAACCAGACATGTCCCTTCCGTGGTATCCGGGTGCAGTCTCCTTGTCAGATGGGCCCCATAGGCCCATCAGGCTCCAGGTTCAATCCTGGCTCTGCCACTCTGTAGACAGAAGGAACTTGTTCACAAACCCTCAGTGCAATGGGGAGGTTGATTCCACCTTCCTCATGGACTTGTCAAAGGATTCAGTTCAAGTACTCAGATGGAGGAGGAGCTCATTAACCCTCAGGTGTTCCTGCTGACATCACTCCACTGCCAGCACTCAACTGCTGTCACCAGCTCTGGCCTCTGTCATCTCTGTTTTCCCTGCTGGGCAGGCCTAACTCTACCTCCATGTTCCTATAGGAAAGCAGTCTGTAGCCCACAGTCAGGGTAGAAAGTCCCTCAGCTGAACTCCTGCAGTACTGGGGCTCCTACATCAGAATCCACCAACTCAGAGTCTGGACATGACCCTCAACTCATGTTCTTCTGCTTGTGACATTGAATGTCCTCTCAATCACCAGAGAAATGTCATCAGTTCCCAGGCCACATGTCAGAGTGACCTGTGGTGGAGGCTCTCCCTTTCCCCAAGCAGCCAGACTGAGCTACCCTGAGATCCTTGATTGAGCCTTGCCCACTCAGGCTTCCCCTCACCAGGTAGACAGCACCTTGGGCTCCCAGGCTGCCAGGTGCCCAGGGTCAATTTGGTGGTAGTGATTGATGTCATTGTCTGTCTTTGTCCTGTCTCATCAGATGTCCTGTCATTATCATGTCACGTCTTATGCATGGTGACTTTAGCAGGCTTGCTTCAGGCCATTTCCCATAAACACCTGTGTAAAATTCTCCCAGGATCAGCTTTTTTTGTTTTTTGAGACAGGTTTCACTACATACACCAGATTCTCCTACTTCAGCCTCCCAAGTGCTGGGATTACAGATGTGCACCACCACACCTGCCTGTGTTATTTTTAATTGTGATAAAATGCATATAACTTGATCTAATTTAACTATTTTTAGGAGTAGTTTAAGATGACATTAAATCCATTCACACTTGCACAACCATCACTACTGCCTGTTTCCAAAATTTTATCACTCCAAATAGAAACCATATCCATTTACCATTACTCCCCTTTTTCACCTATGTTAGTCCCTGGTCACCTTGGCTTTGTGTCTGTATGAATTTGCCTAATTCAGATCTTTCTTATGAGTGGAATCTTCACATTTTTAAGGCTTTTCCACAATCTAGCAGGTGTTGTACTCCATTCCTCCTCATAGCTGAATAATATTCCATGAATAATATTCCTTAAATGTATGCTGCTTTCCTCAGAATGTCTGCTGAACAGATTATAGAAAGTCGATTAAAATTCTAATTTGTTGTTGCTACTACCATGCATGCCCGTCATGAGCTGGACATACTATAGCCTGGCAGTAAGCAGGCAATTCAAAACATACATGGTATTTTCTTTAAAGGCATCATTTTGGTACACTTTTTGTAAAGAATCTAAGAGTTAATTACATCTAGATGAGGTGGCTGATGCCTGTAATCCCAGCTACACAGGAGATGGAGATAGGAGGATTTCAGTCTCAGGCTGGCCCTGATGTGACATCCTGTCTGAAAAAAATAACTAAAGCAAAAAGGGCTGGTGGCATGGCTCAAGAGGTAGAGTGCATAGCAAGTGCAAGCCCCTGAGTTCAAACCCCAGTACTGCAAAAAAAAAAAAATTAATTACTATCCAGAGAAAATTAAATGTCAGCTGCACAGGGATCAAACAAATAGTAGTCCTACTCCATAGTGTTCTCTCCCATCTAAGTCCTCCCATACATGGGTCAAGTCAACTATGATCACTCTTCTCTGGTGACTAGTGCCAACGCCAGAAACTTGACATTAAAATACATTTTCATAATAGAAAATAGAAAGTGTATATAGCATTTCAAATGAAAAGTAGAAAAACGTGTCATTGAATAAATAGTCTTGAGAGAACTGGCTAGCCACATAGTGAGGCTAAAGAGATGGTTAATATTCCTACTTTAAGTCCAAATAGATTTTAAGTAAATAAGACAAAGCTAGAGGGAAATTATGAATGAATAACATGTCAGCATAACAAAAACCATATATACACATAAGCAAAAAAATCATAAAGGAAATAAAAGATCATTACATAAAACTTTGAATTTTTGAGATAAGGTTTTAAAAAAGCCAAGACAAATATAAACA